AGTCTGTGATAGTACACAACGCGTCAAATGTAGCAGCTGTCTCACTGAAAGTGTTTTGTTGTCTGGCATCTAGCTTAGCACCCCTGCAGACCTGAGGAAAGTGATTTTGTTTAAGACAGCGGTCGCACATCTTACCATACGCTGGGCATACATTCTTCCTTATCCTTGCAGGTGCATTTGTACCATGACCTTTTGTTCCACAGTAGCCACAAGGATCTTTAGTTTCTTTTTTTTCATTCTTGTTTTTGATCATTTTTTTGTAGGAGCTGGAGGCTGCATCCACCGGCTGGCTCTCAAGTAAGGAGGAAGCTGACCTTTTACCGGCTTCCTTGACCTCCACAAATTGGAATATCTCCTCAAGTGTCATTTTCTGGTTTTTATCACCAAGCAACTCCAACTGAATCTCAGGGTCTGCGATGCCCCTTGTCACAATATCGCGCATAACCTCATCGGAGAAGTCCACATTGGCACTGCAGTTAGGGCATTTAAGTGATAAACAGCAAATGTTTGCTTGGCCCTTCACACGAGCTCCAAAATTGCGTATTGTCTCCTCACGATCTTGTTTCATTGCATGTAACTTATGTCTAGCGACCATAGCATTCTCTTCCCTGACTGCGAGTTTCCTAATAGCAGATAACACTTCATTTTCAGGTTTGCCAGTCAGGTTTCCACCAGTAGCCCTTGTGAGGTCTTTCCTAAGCGTTTCTTCACAACATTCTAGAAGCTGTAGTATTAAGTCACTGCCTTTAACTTGAGTGGCTTTTTTGTAATCGTCCCATCGTTTTTCGAAGTACAACCAGTCCTCGTTTGTGCCAGCTGCTTTGATAGTTGGACGTTTCACCTTTTCCACTTTAGCTGATGCCGCCACTGCGGGCGTGTGTGTCATCGAGTGTGTGTTGAGTAAGGCAGCAACTATCACAGCGTCCAGCTCAGCGGTTTTGTAATCGCATCCAGGAAATGGGCATTCAACGACAGGCATCTTGACTGGACTGTGTTCATCAATAAGAACTTGTTCTATTTGTGTTTTTTATTATTCACAATGAACACAGTCTGAAAATAAACAATACAGAAAACCTTTAAATGTGACTAGATATACATCACAAGACTTGACAATACGACTTCCATGTCATAACCAAGGGAATGATTAAATTGACAATGAAATACATATAGCATGAACCGTGATAAAGTGCAATACATGAAGGAGTAAAATAATCTTATACATTTTGGGTTTGTAATTACCTATCAATTAAAGTTTATTGTGCCACTTCACTTGTGATGTTGTGTCTTGTAAAAATATGTTACAAATGGCGATTTTCCCATCAGGGGAAGTAACTCTACCATGTGAAGTCCTGACCTCATGTACCGTGCACTGTATATATTCGTATAGAACAGACTCCCCAAAACTATAAATCTCTGGGATAAACTCCTCCATTCTATTTATCCCTGGGATACACTCCTTTATCCTATAAATCACTGGGACAGACTACCCCATCCTATAAATCACTGGCCTGTAAATCACCGGGACAGACTCTCTCATCCTATAAATCACTCGCAACAGACTCTCCCATTCCTTAAATCCCTGAGACAGACTACCCCATCCTATAAATACCTGTGACAGACTACCCCATCCTTATTATCACTAGAAAAGCTTCCCCATCACTGGCCTATAAATCATCGGGACAGACTCTCCCAATCCATAAATCACTGGGACAGAGTCCCCCCATCCTTAAAATCCCTTGGACAGGTTCCCAGTCATCCTATAAATCACTGGGAAAGACTCCCTCATCCTGTAAATCACTGGCCTAATAATTACTGTGACATACTCTCCCATCCTATAAATCCCTTGGACAGATTCCCCCATTCCATAAATCTCTTTGACAGACTGACCCCCATCCTATAAATCACTGAGAAAGACTCTCCCTCCTCCCCCCCCCCCCCCTGTTTTATAAATCCCTGAGACAGACACTTTTATTATAGAAATCACTGGGACATACTCTTCCAATGGGACAGACTCCCCGCCCTACATGTATAAATCACTGGGACAGATTTCCCCCCCCCCCCCCTACCCGTTGTGTTCAGTACAAAAGCAAATAAGTCATTTTTAGGGTTTTACTTAAATAACCATATTGAACTTAATGGTCAAAAGGTCATTTAGCATATTTGTTTCAGAAATGTTTATATGATGACAAATCATATTTTGATCTATTGATCAAAAAATCTTTCCTAGATTTATCACAGTTCACATGTCCAAAGTTTTGACTGGTTACACAAAACTTTTTGTCATTGTCATCTGTTACATAAGACCCAGTCTGATTCTTGATATTCCATTATATTGTAATAAATATTAATACATTCATACGACTGTGTTAGTTTTATCAAAGGTGTCTCTATTCAAGGTAATACAACAGGGTTTGTATCTTGTTTATTGTATTTACAGAACCATGTCAATATTTGTTTATACTTGTTATACTTGTTATATAGATACAGTTTGTCAAAATTAAATCTTTATTGGTATTTACAGATGACTACTGTAATATAAAAGTTATAAAATAGCTTAACAGTACTGTACTTTAGTGATCAGATTAGATTGAAACTTATTTCTCATGACCACTTACATGAGCTTGTTTAACTTTTACCCTTCTGAGTTTAAATAATTGACTTGTCCAACTTAAAATTTCGAATTGTCCATTGTGAACATGTTTCAATTTTCAAAATAACCTGTGGCCTTCTGAAGGGAAAATTATAGAACCACAGATCAGAAAGGGGGGAAACCCTGAAATCAAATTCCATAACAACTGAGAATGGAATTTACCCATAGATTTTATAAAATTTTCAATAGTTATGGGGATCAATGAGTATAAACCACTGATGGGATTTGGACCCACGTGGTCAGCAATCCTTAGATTACTTAAGTCTGGAGTGCTATTCATCTGGCCATGCCGCCACTTCCAAATTTTGATAGTTATATTCTTAATGTTGATAACAGACTGTTTTAAGCTGAAAATTTATTAAGAAATAAGAAAATGTAGTAAGTTATAGGTTAGATATTGATAATTTTAAAAATCATATGAATGTCTATTTTGATAGATGTAGAGATGTTATTACAAAATTACACCAAAGATTATAGTGTCTTGCTGTATCATGATGATAAAGTATGAAATGTTTGTGACTGTATTAACAAGGCTGCAGGGTCTGTTTTATCAAATCTGAATGTCTCCAGAAATTGATTTCTTGATGTGAAAACCTAGCAAAACTGGAAAAGTCCCCAGTTGATACAGATTACTGTATCAAGATAATTTCATTGATATCACCAGGGAAAAGGTACAGTTAGTACCTGACTCACTTTCACCCTTTACCTTCTGGAACCAAAAGTAAATAGCCTTTGTCAACAGTATAGAGAATGTTAAGAAATTCAACAGACTTGAGGCCCTTCTCCTCTGCTGTTGGTATTTCATTGTCTGTGTTTTGATACTGAAATCCCTTAAATTTGAATGGCAAAGCAGGGACAATCTATTACACAAATTTAGGGGATTAATATTAGACATTTCAGTGACTACAATTAATTATAAAAAATTATTTGCCAAATGTATGGTATTTCACCTATAACCACTTGTATGAATTGTTGTTGATTTAAAACTGTCTTTTTAATATCTGTGACAATCAAAATATTTAGGAAGTTTAAGAAGTTAGGAAAATATACTTGTATTTTGTATTTTTCACAATGCCAAAATAACAATCCTTTTTTTTTTTAAAGAAAGAAAAATCAAATTTTAATCATCCAAACATCTCAGATTTCTGTTTTAACTTAATATACTTTCTAGGATTTGTTGATAAATAGATTGGAAATTGAGTGTCATTAGAATCAATTTCAAATTTTCTAAAGAGAAAAATGATTTTATAATTAGAAAACTGATATTTACCCTTTTATCTATTTTAGTGCATTATATTCTAGAGACATTGTATAAATTGAGGTTTAACATGTCACTTGAAGGAATTATCAGCATTTCATTCATGATTTGATCTACTCCTATATCAACGTGTCATCAATGGAATGCATATGCCCCCACTTTGATTTTTTTTATTAAAAAAATTGATTTTCAATAGAATTCAAACATTTTGTCAATTCACGGGTTTTTTAATCCGTCAAAGTTAGCTGTAAGAAACAGGTGTACGGAGTTATGCCGTTATGAGTATGTAAACAGTACTAATATTTGTCCGGTTTTGTGGAGATGTTTGATTTTTAAATGGAATTTTCATAATACGATAAAAGTTTAAAAGACTATGTTTACGTATCTGATACATGAAGTGCAATGTCAACAGGTGGGCTGGGGAGAAAAGGAAATTAAATTTCAAGCTAAGTAAAAGTAAATGTATACAATGTAATAGTAACATACAAAAAGTTATTGTCAGCTTAAAGTTATATTTTTGAAACCAAATAAGATTATTTTAGGGCTCTTAGATGAAGAAATTTGGGGAATAAAATTGTGATTAAATAATATTTGAAAATTAGTTAAGGTTTCAGTGATGTGGAAAGAGGTTGGAATGGGGTTTTTGTACTCTGCTTGAGGATATAAAGCTGTAATAAAAACTGATTTAGTGTATTTATGTCCATTACATAGAGTTACATTGGTTACAAAGTTGTCAAATTTTTTATCAGTATATCTAATTGAAAAATATGGGCAGATGAAATTAATTTAGAAGTAATTGAATAAAAATACCCCAAAATGACTTCAAAAATATAAAAAAAAAATTTATACATAAAAGCTCAGTTGCTTTTGTTTTAGTGTTTTTGCAGAGAAGATGGCATCAGCTATTTTAGGAGGTTTAGAATTTGAGGAACACTGCAGCAGTATTTGAATGTTTATTGGCTCTTAAGGTTCTCATTTTATCAATGTAATTGTTTTCTTCTTATATGTTAGTTATTAATGTTCGTTCCAGTAACAGATGCTATTAATTAGACATTAAGTAAAGACAATCAATATAATGATATATATTTACAGGAGTATACAGACTGGGCTAATGAAGTTTTAAGTCGACATAACCTTCCTCTTATCTCTGACCTTAGGAAGAGTATAGGTGATGGTTTCACCCTACCTACTATATTAGAGATTATAGGTAAGTATTTATCCTCTACTGTCAATCCCTACATGATACATTTTTACTACAAATATGGCATGTTAAATATGTTTGTTTGGTAAATAAACTTGGCCATATCCCCTCTTTATTAACTAGATAAGAAGTTTATGCAATTGTTAGGCCCACAGTACTTTGGGTTCGAATCGCGATGGGCACTTTGGATTCTTTCATGTGAAGAAGCTATCCAGCTAGCTTACGGAACGTCGGAGGTTATCTACTCAGGTGCCCGTTCGAACCTGAAATAATGCATTGAAGAGCACCTTAGGTCTTCCTCCACCCATATAACTGGAATGCTGCCATTTGATCTATACTGAGTCGGTGTGACGTTTAACCCAATTAAACAAAGCACTAAAAGAAAAATAAACTTGGTCAAATGCTTGAGAACATTATTATAATTTTGTTTTGTTTTGTATTATTATGAATAAAATAATGATATTGAGTATTATAATTATAGGAGGTGTATCATTATCGTGTGTGAAGACAAGCCCCGTGTCTAAAGAAGAGAGGGTTACTAATATACTTCATTGTCTCAAGTTCCTGTGTAAACGTGGAGTAAGTGTAACAGGACTAGAACCTTCAGGTAATATATATATTGTTGGTTATTGTTAAAGTTTAATGTACACCAACCTCCATAACTGTAAGTACAGCCTCTGGCAACTGCTCAGAAAACTAGAGTGTTGTCACTAGGGGAGGCTGCGAGTTCGAATCCCAGTCACATCAGGGACTTATCTGGTGCATTAATTTTGCATCTTTCTGTTACTTTGATACTGACATCCCTTTTATCAACTAATACATGTACATTGTAACAATGATTTTGTTTTCAAAGTTGGAATGTTGACATTACACAAAGTCAGTAGATAACAAAACAGCATGTTTCTATAATAATAAAAAGTCATTTGTTTTCATTAGGTATTCATAGATGTGTTTAAAAATGCATACACCAAATATTCCATGTATTGACATATTTGTAAACACAACCATAAATGATATTATATGACATTTAATGTGAAATAAGAGGACATATTGATATGCTCATGTAATTGCTTCATTACAAAAACATGGAATAGATTACAAAACAAAAAAACAATGCTTAACATGAACATTTAAACAAGCTCAATCAATTGATAATAGAATATACATGAACCATTGAACAACAGTACTTAGAATGTAGTTTCTGAAACAACAGTACTATAATGTAGTTTCTGAAACAACAGTACTATGTAGTTTCTGAAACAACAATACTATGTAGTTTCTGAAGCACTTTGACATCACCTCAAAGTGTAGTGGCTGTCAACTTTCATGACATAATCACCACCAGTCCTATCCTGCCACTTTCCACACATTTAGCTCGTCAATAAGAATGTGTTGCACTGTGTAAAACAGGAGAGAATGTTGCTCTGCAATACCTCGGCTATAAAACTTCTGTCAGTATCTGTATGTTCCTATATTAACAACAGTAACTGTCAATGTAGTGGCCGACCGTCACGAGGATCTCTACCATCCCATAAAAACTCATGTCAGTACACAAATGTTTTTCCCACTGGTTCTGAAGTTTTAATTTGTTTTATTGTTGCTACCAGTGAAAGTTTGAGTTCACACAAAAATTGACAACAGCATACTAAACTTAAATGTTAAGTAAATGTCATTTGTTGACATCTAGTCCTTTTAAAAGACCATGGCCATAAAAGGCTACTATAAAATAACTGTCATACTTACCATCTTCAAATTTTCTGGTGTCAACGTTGAAATGTCATACTAATAAAAGTACATGTATTCTCAGTTAAGTTCACTCCAAATAGTGGTTGCTATAGATATCATTTATTCTTCTTATGTATTAAATATTGAATCACCTAAGAACATAAGTTGCTTTACTTGTATATGAGTTATCTTATAAAAAAATATATAAATTATATATGGCATCAGTTGTAACAAAAAATTTTCATGGGATCAGGTGTAAAATTATATGAAAGATTAATCTGGCATAAAAAATACCATTCATATTTACTTTTTTATATGTTAATCAAGTAAAATGGTATTATGGCATAAAGACATGGCATATAAAGTTTGATGTACCCATAATTTTATGAATAACAATTATGAAAAATAGACTTAGGGAGTATACTTTATACTTACATGTTCTAAGTATGAAGTTATAGAGCCCCTGCCAGAATATTTCAGTCAATATTTACAGGCTCTTCTTTTAAAGGCTTAACATTATTTTGTCAATGGATTTTATAAGGCATGTTTTTAAATATAAATTATATAATGTTTGTTTATGTTTAAATTTACAATCCAAGTTTGAATATTTGATTTATTACTTTGTTTATAAGCCAAGAGATTATGATAATTTTCTTGTAACATTACTTCATTATAAGGGCCACAAATTAATATTAGAGTTTGACATGTACTTGAGTGAACAAGTGTTTAAAGTAGTTTTATAATATTAAAGCTGCACGCCTCCAGAGATTTTAGGAAAAGTATAACAATTTAAAATTCTAGTAATAATTTACATGATATGTGCGATTAATGACCGATTTTTCAGTATTTATAACTGTATTTCTACTGCGTAACTAACACAGTAAGAGCTATTTTTGCATATTTTGACCTCTTTTTGGTAATTCACATGGGTTGTAAGTGCCATTGATAATGTGTAAATTGCATTCTTTTGGTAACTTCAAAATATTATACTGTTTAAATACATTTTCAAATTTTCATAAAAATTCGCATGAATCTGGAGGTGTGCTGCTTTAGATATTCTGGGAGCCATTGAATGGTATCCAAAATTACCATTGATTTAACCATTATAGCTGGTCAAATTACCCAAATTGAGTGTTCTAAAGTCTATTTTGAGACAATTCTTTATAAGTTTAATGTATATAATATCATGATGAAAATGCAATAGTTTTCAAGCATGATTTAACTGATATTAGTCTGGCTATATATTGGTTGTACAGGTTTTCCAGTTTCGATTTCAACATTGTAAGTGCTTAGTTTAAAATATGATAAGTTGGGGAGATAACAGGTTAATGGATTTATGATTTAGAATACAGGGACAACATCAAGTATGTTACAATTTGAATTTGAAATGAAATAGGCAAAAAAGTTCTTTTATCCTTTACCAAAGTATGAATCAGAAATATTGTAACCATGTGGCACTAACGCCTTGGAATTTCAGTATTAAAATGAGCAATTAACACCAAAAATTGTTTGTGTTGTATCTTACATGACTTTGTGTTCTACATTTTATTTTGTATATACCTTTTAAAAAGTCCTGATTATGCATGTTGACCTAAATAGAATGATTTTTTTTTTACTTCCGTTTAAGATTTGAACGGGTATTCCAATTTAAGTGCATGATAAATTTAAACAGACAAGGAAATATTTATGTTAACATATTAAACAGTTCAATAAATCAAACAAAATTGGTTTAAAAATGTTAGCACATAATTATTATGTACAATGTTAAAGAAGGTAGGTAATATGTCTTATCATAGTGAGAAGTAAGTGTTAGATAAGACTTTTGTTCTTATACATACATTTTGTAATCTAGTTTTACCATTTGTTAATTTGGGACTGTTAAATTTTATTTTAAAAATTAGCAATCAGTGATATAGAAGATAATAATCATATCAATTTTAAAGGATATCTTTTCTCCTGTAGAACTTATGGCAATAAAGGTGTTATCATGCATAAGATTAATGCATGAGCAACTAAATTATTTATTGTTTTTTGTGATTCAGATATTGAAGATGGGCATTTAAAGTCAGTGTTGCAGTTAGTTGGAAATATAAGACAGCATTTTAAGGTATGTGATCTGGTTATTTAACAAGTAAGCAATTACAGAGAATAAATGGCTGTGCATGATTGTTATCACCATAATTATGCATGGACTTAATTTGGTTATATGGTGTCCAAAAATCACATTATTTGATTGGTGTTATGATAAACTTTCTGAGAAACACTCTCCTAAATTATAAGCTATGTAAGCTTCTGTAACGACAACATTAAGTGCAGTTTGTCCTGAAAGTTAACTCTGCTTTTAGTGTTGGGCCATTTACCTGTGCCCTTACTTTGAAACAGAAAATAATAATGTTTTCCAGTTGTGGTTTTCTCAGACAGGTTTGATAGACTATTTAATTCCTTTTGAATTGATTAAGTTTTGTAAGGATAAGATGGAAAAGAAAGATAATGATTACAAAGTGTGTATACTAACTGCCACATGGATATTTATCATTAATTTTATGCATTAAACTTGCCTAATTGCTGACAGATTCTGTTGTTTTAAAACTTTTAAAGTTACATTTAATAAATTTCATAAAAAACTAAATAGCGACATTTCATTAATAAATTGGGTTTTATATCGACTCCAGGTCTTATTTTAGTGGTTTTATTAGCATAAAAATAGGTAACCTCATTGTGGCGAAATGGGAAGTACAATTTCTGTTTGCATGAGAAACTCCGCCTTCGGATCATCTGTACATCAGTATTAAATCAACAAACATGACTGTTAGTGGCAGTCCTAATTTAACGGTATATTTCCGCATTGTAACGGATGTTTTCATACAAATTTAATCTTTTTACGAGATGATTACTTTTACTGAACCCCAGATTTAGTGCACCGTGAAGCTTAAACGGTTAAAGTGTGTTTGCACAAGAAAATATCACATTTGCTGTGTTCCGGATAGTAACTATAAAACTGTGACGTAGCGCATACACGAGCTCATTATAGTCTTCATTTGCATGTTAAAATTCGTATACGAACTTTAGTGTTACCGTGGGGTTTCCCGTTTAAAATCCTAATTTATGAACAATATCTGATGAGATTTACAACAATACTATTAAACAGGTTAATGAAACTGTAGAATGTTTGATTTTTAGGCCGACGACAAAATATTTTTACATATTTATTTAATGTAACTTTAAGATGCTATATTGCTAGTACTACTTTGTCCTTTCTGACAGATACAAGCCAACTAATAGATTTTATGACCTGACCTTAATGGCGTGCCATATATCATACGAGAAAAAACAATATTAAGTTTGTATAACATATATGTTTACAGAACACATATAAACCAGAACAGAATGGATATTCTAACCATGTGCCAGACTCTCCTGAGATAACTGTAAAATCTCCAGTACAAACTACTATGCCGGGAACCATGAAACTACCGGGAGCTGTACCAACCCCTTTTGTACCTCAAGGTCAAAGAAATAGTAAGATATCTTTGGCATTTTTTTACAGACAGATAAAATATTGAAAATGAATATGTGTTGGGACCTAAAACAAAGTTGCTGATACATTCACATCACATTTCTTTGAAGCTAAATTTATAACATTGCATGTATAATTAAATAAAGACATGTTTGATTTATAATCAATATGCTTGAAAAAAAGATGTTAAGAAAAATAAGTCTTGCAGAGTGCATAATCTAAATACATCATTATATAATGTACAGGTACATGTTTATTTTATTAAAATCCTGAAAAACAGGTTTGCAAGTGGAATATACATGTATAGATGCAATTTATTGTTAGTTTGTTGTAAACTTAATCAATGACAGCTATAAACACTGTTTAACTTTGATATTTATCAGATAAATTTAATGTTGCCCCTCTGAGGACTTTATGAGAGAAAATAGTTAAAACATTCACTAATGGATATATGAATGAAATTACATTTAACATGACATAGATCTCTAGTATTTGATTATACGGTTATATAATTTGTTTTTAGATAAACCAGAACCAGTCAGTAGGAAGTCTGGGTATCATGATGAGGAGATATTACCTGGTGTACTAGGCAGAGATATCAACAGTAATGATACAAACAAGCCTCATTTTAACATTATTGTAAGTATTTATGGGATATTTAAGCTTTTTTCTATAAATACAAAGTTTTTTTTTTTGATCTAGTGGTATAAAAATAAATGAGTCAAATTAACAAACAAAAAATCTCATATTAAGTCCTCTCCTCTGAATCAAAACTTAAAGCTGTACACAACTTTATTTGGACATAAGGCTGCTTGTGATAACTGAATATACCCCTGTGACTAATGCAGACCAGGATCAGCTGGCACATTTATACCATCTGATCCTGGTGTATACTATTAGCTCTTGAGTCAGTACATATTTTAAATTTTTCCAGAAAAAAGTTAAATGGTTATATCCAGATTAAAAGAATTGATGGACTGGTCCATTTCAGGTATAAAATTTGATGAAGGTTAGAATTTCACTTGAAATTACTGTTTACAAAGACTTTGCAAAAAAGGGAACATTTGTATATAAGAAATACATGTATTAATGTTTGTATATTTTTCATACTGTAAGCCATTTTTTCATAGAATTCTAATAATTAAAAAAAGCAAAATATTCTCTATAAATTTTATATGAAAAGTTTCATCAAGAGGAAAAGTACAAAAGAAATTTATTGATTGATTTTCATCATTATCAATAGGAAAATATGTTATCTATAATTAAGTTTCACTTCAGAAACCAATAGTTTTAAATATTGCTATTTGATCAGCTAGAGGCTGTTAATGTAGAAGTAAGTGTCTTAGGGGAATTGAAGTAAAACTTGACATTTAAAGTAGTGGATAGGTTACTGGAAATAGATTTAATGACATTACATCAGTCTGCATGTGCTCCATGCTCAATCTTTAGACTACTTTCAATGCTCAACTACCACTCAGCTACCAGTATCTACTTTAATTAAAGATTAAGCATTCAGTCTTTCATTCTAAAAGCAAGATAACTTATTGTTAGTCTGTGTAAGTGAATAATTAAAGAAAGTTTATGTTTTTTCCCTGCCAGATATGACTAAAAAATTGCCATAATCTTGTATATGTAATATTTTATAAAAATTTTGAATTTCATAATGTTTTCTTCAATCTTTAAGATTATTGGCTTAATAAAGCTTAATAGTTTATCTGATAATAGGGTTATTTCCTTTTTTAGCAAACAACTTCAATTGGGTTTTTGGTGGTTTAAAAAAATCTTATTTATGTTCACTTTAAAGATGGTGTTTTTATTTTCAGAATTTAAATTTCATGTGTTTTCAACAGATCATTGTTCATTACATGACTGTATAATTTATTGACATGTTATCTTGGATTTTGTAGTCTACAACAGAGATAGGCACTAATGGTGTGGCTCAACACGGGGTAGATGAGAGAAAACAACACTTTGCTTCCAACAGCAACAACACTTCCAACAGAGGCATGGTGATCAGACATCCTAATGCCAGAACAAATGTTCCTGGTGTACACGATCAGTCGGCACTACCACCCAGTGTAACACAGCGAGCATGGACAGGAAGTCCGAGACCACAACATAATAATGTATGCATCAGTTACCACACTTACACTAAACGTTTATTATTTGTAGTTTTGCTTAATATGTCTGCCATAAGCATTTGATAATTCAGATAATTTTACAGTTTTGTCTGATTATTATCAAATAAGCTTTACAATAACCATTAGAGATAAAAAGATTTTTAAACTTAAAATTTTATACCAGATAAGTTAAGTGGTGAAGTAGATTTTATTTTACTAAAGTATTGATAGGTTGAGGGGAACAAAGTTCTCAGTTCATACATGTAGAAGTTTATTCAAATGCCTATTGCACCTTTGCAACCACAGGAAACTAATAGTTGGTAACTCTATGTTTACATTATGATTGTTTGTTTGGTTGGATAGTTGAAAAACTTGATTACAGAGAAATTTGTTTGTGTGAATAGATTTTAAATTTTTGGAAAATTTAGATATTTGTCCTATCTATAATTCATCTTTTTTATCTTAATAGGTAAATGGTTCAGCAATGAGCCCATCTGTGGAGGACCGACTAAAGAACCTGCTTGGTAATGGGTCCAGCCGGAGTAGCAGTCGGGATAATCTGGTATGTCTGAGTGATTTAATTGTACCCCACCCACTATGTGTGCTGTGCCATGGGCTGCAGTTTATGTTACATGTTATACACTGTGTGTGTGTTTGAAATATACCCTCAAAAATATCACTATTACATTAGATTAGAGATGCATGCGTCTAGATATTACAATTTCTTTAAGACAACTCTGTGTTGGAAAAATAAGCTTTTGACTGCTATTTAATTGTTCCAAAAGATTTATAGTTTAGTCAATATTCAATTGTTTATGTTTCTTATTGAATAAGAAAATTTAGCTTTTGTAACAAAATAAAATTGTATGAAACCGAGAACATAAAATCATGAAGTTTCATTAATGAATAGATCTTTGAATTGTGATACATCTTTTTAATTGGCAACAAAATATCTGTAAAAATGTTCTAAATTCTCATAGATATGTAGGGTATAATCATTCTCTTTTTCTATTCCACGGGTATAATCATTCTCTTTTTCTATTCCACTGTTGCATCAATTGTGAATTAGTAATTGATTGAGAATCCTAGAGAATATAAACATAAGCCTTAATTCACCTAAATGTTCAACTAAACAGTAACATTTCTGTAAAAACAACTTCTGGAAATAAGCTTTTATCATAATATATATTTCTCTTTCTAAAGTTATTTCAATTTACAAAAAAAATCTACACATATGTAACCAATTATCAAAACTCTGTAAGCAGCTACACAGCCTTTTTTTGCTGAAGACGAATTCAGTAAATATACCCAATCACATGAAAATCCTGACTTTACAAGAGTTAAGATTCACCATTTGCCTATATTTTAGACTTAAACTTTCTCCAATTTACATAATTTCTTGACTTATATTTCCAAGTTTGGTTGACCCATACTAAGAATGGTAGGGAAAAAATCATTTCCAGTACTGATAATGATAAAAAATACTGGACTTCTAAAAAGTTTGCTGTTGACCTTTGAGTCATTCTGCTTTAATTATAATTTTATCAGATTAAGTTAAAACAAAACTATTTACAATACACCTGTACATCCTTGTTTATATTTACCTAAGGTAGTTATCTTAAAAGTAGCTGTATGTATAGATAGAGAACAAAGTTGAGAACTTGCAGTAAGACTGATATAATGTTAACTTCATCATTATTACCTAATATGTCGAAGGGATTTATACTTCAAATAAATGATTAAATGATTTTATAGGATTTCGATTATGACAGATTTGATACAGGTTTATATAGCTTTTAAACTTTTTGAACAGTATATTGATTCATCCAAGTTTGCCCATTAAGGAAATAAAGAAGACAAGATAAAGTTTAGATTTCGTTTTAAAATACTATTTTTATTCATAGAGTTTCAGATTATATTAGAACATATATGAGCCGTGTCATGACAAACCAACATAGTGCGTTTGCGAACAGCATGGATCCAGATTAGCCTGCACTCCATGCTGTTCGCTTACAAACCCTATTACAAGTAGAGAAACTGATAGCGAACAGCATGGATCCTGATCAGACTGCATGGATGCGCAGGCTGGTCTGGATCCATGCTGGTCGCAAACCCATTATGTTGGTTTTGTCCTGACGTGGCTCATATATGTTATATAGTGTTATAATATTTTTGTGTCTGGAAAGGGGGCAGGTGTTTTAGATGTGTATATTTTGAATCTAACTGTTTTGTTTGATGTTGTGTGTGTATTCACTTAACCCAGTTTTTCTGTGCACTTGCATGACAGGGATATTATGGTGGTGGTTTTCACGGTGGAAGTAGTGAGATTTTAGATGACGATGACGGAGAAATATTGGTTGTTCCCGGACCAATGTCCCGTAACTCGGCTGACTTTGAGACGGCCATGTTAGGGGAGCACGGGTATGGTCCCGGTTATAGACCACCCGGTACAGGCAATCATCACACACGACAGAGGTCACAGCAAGGTTATGTGGTAGGTGAAGGGACGTAGAGCCCCACACTAACTAACACCCAGGAAAACAATAAACTTTTAATACATCTATGTTATATTGCATGTTTTATCTTTTCAGTCTTTCTAAATTACATATCCTGCTGCAGTCTGTATTGCTCTTTAAATATTTAAAAAAAAATCAATTAAGTTAATGTTTAGAAATCGTAGTTTTCAAATTTTAAAAATTTAAATTTTGGAATATAATAATAAAATATAAACATTGGACTTTTCAGAGTTCAGCTGAAAGAAACATTTAAGAAATATTTTAGATATGAATTTATTTTTGGAAGATTGTTATTTTCGGAGGTGCTTTTCTCAGTTTGTTTGTTGAAATAAAGATCGAAATGCTTAAAAAAATAACATGCAGTATTTCTGATGTATAAAAGTTGATTTGTTTACAGTATGAGTATCCTACTAACTTTCCATGCTAGAGTCAGACTTCCCGAAAGTTGAAAAAAACTGTCAGACATTTGGTCTGACAAACCATGAAAATATGTCGGACCGAAACGAAATCTGTCGGACCAAATAAAATTGATCAAAATCAAAGAATAACTTGTGTTTGTATTTCTAAGACACATTTTGTTTTTAATTTTTTCGCCGTAAAAATCGGCACATTCCTTACAGCGCATTTTCATCTCCTCCCTATCATACATCAACGATTCACTGTCTTGCTTCTATTTTTCATTAAATTTTGTCTCAGATCTATTCTTTTTATCCTTTTACTGCTGTTCTGCCTGTTCCTCTGACGTAGATTTTTAATTTTTCCAAGGTTTGTCACCTTTAGCGACGCCATTTTGTATACATGCGGCTTGGATAAAAGCCGGACAGTCGGACCGATCCGGAGTAAAAACTCGTCGGACCTGATCAAAATTTATCGGACATGTCCGTCGGACCGACGTATTTCGGGAAGTCTGTAGAGTGACTTGAAATCTAATAACAACATTTTATGTTCTATTGTAAATCATACATTTAGTTATTCTGAGCCTATACTCAACATACCATGACTTTGTTTATTTCCAATTCATTGTTACAAAATATGTATAAATATTTAAATGACATTTGAGAACTGTGATCTTGTTTAATTTATGAATCTGTTTTGTTAATAATGAAAACTTGGTGATGATTTTACAAGATTTATTGACTTTTTTATATTTTATACTAAAATTATACAATTTAACTACACTTGTGTAAAGATTCTTTATCATATGAATAAAATTTGTAATAATCTGCAAAATGCAATGTATCGACATCCGTTGTTCTGTTAATGTTCCAGCCATCCAAACCATCGGAAAGAGTTCAAGGGTCACGAGCAGAGGTCATTATAAGTCGCCCTCCATCAGCTATTGCATTCAGGAAGACTGCACCGTCCAGGACTACACAGGGCATGCCAGGGTCGGTACCGGGTAACGGTCATGATAATGGACCAATCAACCATCGTTCTCCATCTCCCGGGAACTACGGTAACAGAGGAGGTAATCAACCAGGTGGAGAAAATAAATCACCAAGGTATAAATACTTCAATATTTGTTAAGAGATAGCTCAGAAAGAATAATAGTTATTATAAGTGCAAGGGTCTCCATGTTTTAGATTGAAGTAAAATTTGATGAAATGTTGATGGATATTATGTTGTCCCTGTAGTGATGACAACAATATACAAAAGGAAGTCCTGTACAATATTCATGTTTGACCCATGTCTGTAAATGAAATCATCTATGTAGTTATTAGTATACTTGTGTAAGTTTTATTAGTTTTTAGCTAATTTTATTTATTTTATTTTGGTTTTGATTTTATTTTCAGTCCATTAAAGGCTGGGAGTAATGACTTGCGGAATGCTTGGAATAAATTATATGGACCACATCAGACACAACCCCCGCCTTATGGCAGCATGAGACGTGGAGATCAGCTTAGATCATCACACGGTCATCAAACACAACAAAGACCACCAAATGTTAGCACACAGCAATCTGTATGTATCCTGTGTCTGCCCTTTTGTTAACAATTTATATATATTACATGTATATATATATGAGAATGTAGAGAATATGAATTTTATGAAGCTTTAAATTGATAAATGTTAAGAAAGTCTTTACATAGTCTTAGCCAAGTCTTTACGTAGTCTGAGCCTTAATACTTATTCATATCTACAGAGAGTTGTTTGTGATAGGTGATATATAGTATGTTTGTGATAGGTGATATATAGTACATGTATATAATTTTCAAAAAAATTGTTTTTTAGCAGTTGTAGTACATATTTTAATATTTTTTCTTCTATTTTAATCTAGGTATCATTTGCCCAGCCACAGCCTCAGATGTCTTCTAGACCTGTATCAGCCCCTGCTCCTGCCCATATGCAGGCATACTTTCATTCACATGATCAACATAGTCAAGGTCAAGGCCAGTCTCACAGTCAGGATAACCTCGATAACCATGGTCAAGGGCATAATTATACCTCACATCAACGAGAAAGTCCTATGGGTCAAAGTTCAAGCACTCAGGGACACTTGAATGAATCATCATCTAGTCAACAGAGTCGGCTATCACAGGAGCAGGTTCCTAAACATTTACAAGTTCAAACTTCAACAGACAATAATTATGGGAAATTAAGTCAAAGTTCACACTCAAGTTTAAGTCAGCCAAGTCCAAATAGTCCAGGGAGCCCTAACTATGCTATAGGGCCAGCATCAAAATATCCAGATAACCCTGGAAGTCGGCCTACGTCTGCTAGGAAACCGACCGGACCTACGAACCCTGCAAGTCCTCAACAGAGACAGAATAGACCAAGATTGCCTCTACCACACCAGTCAAATGATCAAATTGTTAGAAATGATCTCAGATATCCTAACAAACATCAAAATAACTTTCCAGAAGATCTCACTACAGCTCTACAAGCTGCTAGTAAAGAACATAAGAATTTGGGTGGATATAGTTTTGATGATTCTCATGATAGATCACATGACCAGTCACATGACATGTCTCTTGATTTTCAAAATCGTAGCATTTTTGACTACAATGTTCCCTCTCGCAGTGAGAGTACTGGTTCAGTCACACCTCCATTACCTCCCTTGTCCCCAACCAACACACCTCCAGATTCGCCACAAATGGAGTTAAATTCAAACTTGCCAAGGTCATTAAGTGCTACCAATGTGTCTTCTGCTTTTAACAAGTTTGAAGAAGCAGACAGAAAAACTCTATCGAAAAAGAAGCACAGAAGAACATCAGAAGTAAATTACAGAATGGAAAGGCAATCCAAGGGAAAGAAATTAAAGAATAAAGCATTTCATGCCAGAGGTATATTTATACATTTATATTATTATACAACTCAAAAAGTTGAAAGATTCAATTTTTGTGGGGGTTTTGTATTGAAGAAAGCCATTACAGAACATGTGTTCATTAACTGTTAATATACTAACATTAGACCTACTGTAGTATTACATGCTAAATATAAATTTTTGTCGTCGTTTGATTCAAAGCACTTTGATTTACTGAAATGAAACTTTGAGAAGTTATCTTTTGACACAAATGAACTTGCCCAACAATTTTTGTTTGTATTAAAATAAAAAAAAAAACAGAATTTTTTTAAAAAAATTTTTTTTTTTTTTTTTTTTAAATTTATAAAAAAAATTTTTTTATTATATTTCAAAGGTTTTAATCTAAATTTACCCTTGATTCAAAATATAGTCTTAGAGTAAATTTCTGTTTTATTTGCAGTTTTTGATAGCTTACTTCAGCCTATAAAGTTTTGTCAAATTACAAAATGAGCTGAAAATGATTAAATTGTATGATTTTATGGTTTTATGTTGTAGGTGCTAGTCTAAATGATGTAATGGAATCGGGTACCGACACAGAAAGCAATCTTTCATTTGATATTGATGATACAATACTCACTGTGGAATCTCACGACACCGAGCAACCTCATCCTGCTGGAGATATCTTATCCTCGCCGGAGGTCACGACCCTTCGTGACCAACTCCATAACTTTTTAGGTTCAAAAAACCATGATTTTCGGGGGTAAACAGTCCATAAAACGCCCCTGTAGGGAATCTTTAATAAACATCCGGGCCAGGCAGGGTCAAGGTTGGGTCCCCCCCCAATTGGACGAAAAAAGACATGGAGTATGGGGGACTCAGATCAATCATTTAGGAAGAAGCAAAATAAAACCCTAAAACAATTCATCATAAACTCTTCAAAAAATTTTAATTTTCCAAAAAAAATTATTTTTCTTTTTTTATTTCTTTTGATAAAAAAATATCTTTAAGTTTGCCCCGTTTATGTATTATAAAGAAGTAAAAGTTATGTTAAGTATACTCTTAACACCCCAAGTTTTCTTGAAATTGGTCATTCACGCTTGTTCCGTTTGGGACCTGTTTAAAAAATTGTACCCTGCATAAAGCTATTAAGTACATTGGACCCTTTGCCTGCTGGCAGCAGCCATTGCAGACCAAGATCAGCTGGCACATGTATGCTCCCTCATCATGGTCTGTACTGTTGCCTTTTCAGTCAGTGCATTTTATTTGGAAATTTCCTATAAATATGAATAGTTTCACCCAGATTGAAAGATGGATAAGTCTATTTAAGATATTAAGGGGGTTAATTGGTTATAACTGTATTAGGTACCTTTATGACATGCTCATCGTTTGTATTTTATTTCAGGAATATCAACAAAAGATTTCAAAGACTAGAGTCACATGTAGTGACTCTAGCAAGGAGTGTTGCTCACTTATCTTCAGAATTACGTACCCATAATACTATGGTGAATGACCTTGAAACAGTGAAACGTGAGCTGCGTGAGTTAAGAGAAAATCCGTCCCGTCCTTTCCCAAATATGATTGACAGAACCATGGCTGAACAAGAGAGATTTCGAGACTGGGTCCCGTCCCTCACAAACCCTAAACGAGTTAATAAACTCACAAAGTACGTACATTTGTAATAGTTTTCAAATATTGTCATTTGATTGTTACTTCTTATCTCATTTTTGATAAAGTTCTCATTTCTAATCCAGTACTTCTGATTAAGTATAATCAACTTATCTTGCTTTGTGTAAGGAATGTTTATGATCAAACTTTAATGTAACGTCAAGGTGAGAATGCAAAAATTAGATTACAGGTAATATAATCCATAGTTTTACTAGACTAATGTTCTTGTTGCCTCTTCCCTTTGTTCAGACTTGCCCTCCTCATTTCATTTGGTTAGTAAAATGTTATGCCTTTTATCTTGTGATTTTGATCAAGTTATTTTTCTATGTTTGTTATTTCAGATTCTTTGGCTCTGAACCACCATTGTTGGAATTATTTCTTGAGAAACTAGGATATAAGGTAAAACAGATTTGTTATCTAGTTTTCTGTAGAATTTTAATTTAAGGTACTGAAAATACATGTATAGCAATGATAAATTTCTATTTAAAAGATTGTTTCTGTCAATAATTTTTTAACTTCTATGCAATAATTTATTATCATGAACTTCCTTAAAAATACCTGCATTCCAGTTAATACATTGTGCATTTATGGGTAAACAATTTAATTTTAACTCTGACACATTTTCAATAGAAAGGTCTCCAAACTATGATGCAATAGTATTTATTTAGTTTCCTGATTTTGCTTTGCAAGTCTAAAATAAGTACCTTATTTAAAATAAATGAATACATGCAGTTATATTTATATTACAGAAATACGTAAGTAATTTCCAATCGGAGCATATAGGAATGATTGAATTACCATACATGACAGAGGACCGTCTGGAGAAGATAGGGGTACCAATGGGGGCCCCGATACGAAAATACAGAAAACTCAAAAACTTTTTCCGCCTGAAAACAGAATATTTATCTTTTTTGAAAATACATTGTTTTAGAAAACGATTTTTTTTATTGCGATGAAATACAGAAGAGGATCGAGTAAAGTCGTGGAAAATAAAAAGAGCGGAAAAAAGGTTATTTAGAAGGTATATTTTTATTAATTGACAAAGGAACTTCTCAAACGGGACATTAGATTTTGGGGAAAAGGGGAATTGTATCAAAAGTGTTATAAGTGGGTATAATCACACTTCATAACAAGCCTTTAAAGGGGAATTTTTTTTTAGGTGGAAAAAAAAAAAATCGGTTTTTGAATTGATATGTGGGTTAATTTACCTGGAAGAAAACAAATGGTAAAAGTCTGTATAGTACTAGAAGAGGTTGTAATTGAATAGTCTCCCTTCCATCATGAAAAAAACTTGATATTTTAAAACAGTGCAAGAAGTTACAGAGGTTACTGTGATATATCTATTTAACATATCAGTTACATGTTTTTATTTAATTTACATTTTTTGCTTTTTTATTAACCAATATATTTAAAATTTCTTAGAATTAATTGAGGCAGAATAAGTTTTAATGTAGGGCAGCCTTATATAGTGTCGATATATATTTTATGCTATATATGGTCATATTTCAAACTTTACTGTAATTTCAGATTATATTACAAGTACACACAATTACATGGTTTTTTAGCTCACCTGTCACAAAGTGACAGGGTGAGCTTTTGTGATCGCTTTTCGTCCGGCGTCCGTCCGTCCGTCCGTCGTCCGTCCGTAAACTTTTACTTTAAATGACATCTCCTCATAAACCACTAAGCCAATTTCATCCAAACTTCACAGGAATGTTCCTTTGGTGGTCACCTTTAAAAATTGTTCAAAGAATTTAATTCCATGCAGAACTCTGGTTGCCATGGCAACCGTAAGAAAAAACTTTAAATATCTTCTTTTAAAAAAACCCTAAGAGCTAGAGCTTAGATATTTGGCATGAAACATCTTCTAGTGAGTGTCTAACCAAGTTTGTTCAAATAAAATCCCTGGGGTCAAAATTGGCCCTCTGCCCAGGGGGTCATTGATTTTCCCTATATGCATATAGTAAAAACTTAAAAATTCTTCTTTTAAAGAACCCAAAGAGCTAGAGCTAAGATATTCAGCATGAAACATCTTCTAATGAGTGTGTACCAAGTTTGTTCAAAATAAAAGCCCTGGGTCAAAATTGGCCCCGCCCGGGGGTCATTGATTTCCTTATATGTGTATAGCAAAAACTTAAATAATCTTCTTTTGAAAAAACCTAAATAGCTAGAGTTTTAGATATTTGGCATGAAACATCTTCTTGTGAGTGTCTACCAAGTTTGTTCAAATAAAATCCCTGGGGTCAAAAATTGGCCCGCCCCAGGGGGTCATTGATTTCCCTATATGCATATAGTAAAAACTTAAAAATTCTTCTTTTAAAGAACCCAAAGAGCTAGAGCTAAAAATATTCAGGCATGAAACATCTTCTAATGAGTGTGTACCAAGTTTGTTGGTTCAAATAAAAGCACTGGGTCAAAATTGGCCCCGCCCCAGGGTGTCAATTGATTTTCCCTATATGAATATAGTAAAAACTTACAAAATCTTCTTTGAAAGAACTCAAAGAGCTAGAGCTAAGATATTCAGCATGAAACATCTTCTAATGGGTGTCTACCAAGTTTGTTCAAATAAAAGCCCTGGGGTCAAATTGGCCCGCCACTGGGGGTCATTGATTTTCCTTATATGTGTATAGCCAAAAAACTTAAATAATCTTCTTTGAAAAAACCCAAATAGCTAGAGTTTAGATATTAAGCATGAAAACATCTTTCTAGTGAGTGTCTACAAAGTTTGTTTAAATAAAAGCCCTGGGTCAAAATTGGCCCGCGCCCTGGGGGTCTTGATTTTCCCTATTGCATATAGAAAAAAAACTTAAAAAAATCTTCTTTGAAAAAACCTAAATAGCTAGAGTATAGATATTAAGCATGAAACATTTCTAGTAAACATCTACAAAGTTTGTTCAAATAAAGCCCTGGGGTCAAAACTGGCCCCGCCCCAGGGGTGTCATTGTTTTTAACTATATGTTGTGGTAGTAAAACCTTAAAATCTTCTTTTTAAAAAACCCAATGAGCTAGAGCTTAGATTGTTTAGCATGAAATATCTTCTTATGGATTCTACAAAGTTTGTTCAAATAAAAGCCCTTGGGTGAAAAATTGGCCCTGCCCGGGGGGGGGGTGATCATTTTTTTTCATTACATGTGTGTAGTAAAAACTTAACATTTTGAAACATCTTTTAATGAGTCTTCCAAGTTTGTTCAAATAAAAGCCCTGGGGGTTTCAAACTGGCCCGTTCCGGGGGCCTATATACAGGTGAGCGACCTCAGGGCCATCATGGCCCTCTTGTTTTTCTAATGATTAAAATGGATATGATTTAGCTAAATAAGCATGTGACTTTTTTTTGTAATGTTTGATGTAAGATATAGTAAAATATTTTTATTTAGGTTTACAATGTACAAAAGGTGTATGTAATGTGACAATTGAGGAGGCCTGCCCACAGAGTTAAAAAGTACAAAAAGATGATGAAATACGAATGTTATTATTTAAACATATTGAAATGTAGTATATTTTAAAAACAAAACAAATTTTATTAGTTTTAAGCGCCTGGTTTTAAAATTTGTTGTGTAAAAAGCAGATAACCGGCAAATTTCAGATAGAAAAATCTTAAAAATAGAGATTATATTAGATATTTTAACACTGTCAAATCAATTTAATTTTTTTTTCCTATAAAAAAGAAGTCTTATTTCTGTATCAATGTTTTATCTTATAGTTGTAAATACTGTCTCTTTATGACAAACTACAATTATCAAACTTGTGCCGGTCAGTTAAATGTAGCAGTTCATTTGACAAGATTGCTGGAGTGTTAAACTTCAAACTAGTAATCTAGTGTCTCTAGCCACATCGGTTCAAATTCATCAGGGGCAAGCAGTTATTTCCTTGAGCAACATTCTATGGCCAGTAATGTTTGATTGCAAGAACTGGTTAGAGGTGTCTATTAGCTTATAGCTTCCTACACAATGTGACTAAAATAAATTCTGTGTCTAAAACTCTTTTAATTTTGTGAAACAAAATCTTTATTAAACCATTAAAGTTTAAAATAAAAAATTAAATAGTGTTAGAGTTTTACAAATTAACAAATCTGAATTCAAATGTTTTAAAATTCTATAATTTAGTTTAAGTAAGTTTACGCCCTTACATCACACTTTTGACATAAAATAAATATATTCTATAATATTACTGTCATATCTTACAATAAACATATTTCAACTCTCTTTAACAATATGCTAATTGTATTTATTATATAATCTATAAATAGCTTTGAAATGCCTTTCCCTGATTGGCTAACAAGCAACTTTTTGTAAAAAATAACAGGTCAATATCAGAGTATATTCACTGTTTTTTTCCTAAAAATAGATTTTCAGAGTATATTCACCGGTTTTTCTTCTAAAAATAGATTTTCTGGAAATCCCTTAAAGACGCGAGACTTTTACGTGACGTCACGCCAAATTTGTTGTTATTATTCTGAAAAAACTTTGTGTGGGTGTACATAAGAGTCAAATTAGTCTATTTTAGTTACCGTTTTTCATTTTTAAGAACAATAGGAATTAGCATGCCAATGGAAAGGGCCAAATTATGGAAACAGTAGACAAGCTGAAAAATAATGATTTCCGTCGTATGCAATGGCAAATGTGATAAGCCATATAAAAGCTATTTATAAATTATATAATAAAACAGATATGTACTTTTTAGCTGTTGAATATGATGTGATATGTACTAAAAAATTAATATTAATTTTTTAGTACATATCACATCATATTCAACAGCTAAAAAGTCCATATTTGTATAATATTTTATATGAAAGATACACATCTGAAAATTTGAATTGTATGCATTAATTTGGGTGGGGCTTTTAAGGTCTACTGAATATTTAGATACACCCTACAATCGGAGGTAAACAAGTGAAATATTTTTGATATTTTAGATAAATATTTAGGCAATAAAATAGGAGGTAGAAATTACCATGCAGATTTTTGAGGAAGTACATTTTACACCTTTGATACTGTTCAGCCAACCATGCAATAAGTAATTTATTATTGCCCATGTTACCCAGTATGATATCTTTGGTAATTAATAACCCTAAATTATTTTCCCATTAAACATAGAGAAAATCATTATATTAACATTTTCAATGTAACATAACATATAATATAGGTAGCTTGATAAGTAATTTATGTTGCAAAGCTATGTAAAAGCTTACAATATAATAAAATACCTGATTTATGGGGTTTCATTTTGGTATATAAGCATGCATTCTAAATAAAACCTGCAAAAACTTTAATAGTCTGATCAAACAGATGTTGTAACCTGTGGCATCATTGATAGTTCTGACTATAGATAGACAATAGCTAAACAATGAAAATAGTTTGTAGATATTTGTTGAGTTATTTTATATTGATACTGGCCACTTGGGTAATACATCCTTTAAAAGCTGGTATTATTTACTCTTAATTTTTTTCAGTAACTTAATGTAGAAGCATTGAGCTGACAAATTTGTTAATGGTGTTTTTTGCCATTCTGGTGATCCTTGATTTTTTTAATGAAAAGAGACAAAATTACTTAATTTTCATGACTTGATGAACCATGAATAAATCATCTTAACATCGATTTTACCATCTTAACATAGATTTTATAGCATTTTAATCTATTTGAAATGGTTTTATAAAACCTTTTATAAAACCTCATATATTTTAATGATGGTGTAACTTTGTTTTTTAAAGTCTTGATATATTCAGGAATTTTGCTTATGTAAGTTATGTAGATAATAAAGTTTCACTGTCATCATATTGTAAATAATTATTATAATTATGTTATATATTTATATGTAGGTCTTATTTATCACAATACCTGTGTTTGTATATTTTATATCAGATGTTTTTAGATATCAACTTACATATCAAATTGTGCAATAGATTTTTCTTTTCAAATGAAATCCCACTGTATTTTTGTAAACAATAAACACCTTAAATATATATTATATAGTTATTTTATTTTTATGATTTTGAATCCTTCCTGATGAATTATATTGTAATGCAATGCACATGTCCTGCTTTGAATTGTATGTAAAAAAAAAACCTTGCCCGGGCTGAAATCCTGTCTGTTTCATGTGAGGAAGCTATCCAGTTAGCTTACGGAAGTTCGGTGGTTACTACTCATGAGCCTAAATCTTGTGCCAGAAATAGTGCACAGAGCAGCACCTAGAGCGTTCTTCTCCAGTAAACTTTGGAAAGTCACCATATGACCTTCACAGTGTTATTGTGTCTCAAACCAAACATTCCATCAATCAAATGTTACTGTCTTACATTTTAATTACTACAGACAAGCTCTAATATAATGTTTTATGTATTATATGCGTCGAAAAGAACATTTGTTTTAATGCGGATTGCTATTTCATAATGAAATTCGGGGACCAGTGCTATTTTTCAAGTCTCGTGATTATAAAGCCTATGTTGTACCATATGCAACACATACCAGGCTTTTATTTGTGTGGAACATTGTTTTTATTTGTGTCAAAATGTTGCATTAAGTCATATTCTTCTATTAGAGTCTGGAATTTCCGACTATACCTCCGAATACCTGTTATTATTACAAACTTGCATTAAAAGAGTTACAAATGGCACAAGTTCTACAATACCTGTTATTACATTAAAAGAGTTACAAATGGCACAAGTTCTACAATACCTGTTATTACATTAAAAGAGTGACAAATGGCACAAGTTCTACAATACCTGTTATTACATTAAAAGAGTGACAAATGGCACAAGTTCTACAATACCTGTTATTACATTAAAAGAGTTACAAATTATTGTAACAAGTTCTACAATACCTGTTATTACATTAAAAGAGTTACAAATTATTGTAACAAGTTCTACAATACCTGTTATTACATTAAAAGAGTTACAAATTATTGTAACAAGTTCTACAATACCTGTTATTACATTAAAAGAGTTACAAATTATTGTAACAAGTTCTACAATACCTGTTATTACATTAAAAGAGTTACAAATTATTGTAACAAGTTCTACAATACCTGTTATTACATTAAAAGAGTTACAAATTATTGTAACAAGTTCTACAATACCTGTTATTACATTAAAAGAGTTACAAATTATTGTAACAAGTTCTACAATACCTGTTATTACATTAAAAGAGTTACAAATGGCACAAGTTCTACAATACCTGTTATTACATTAAAAGAGTTACAAATGGCACAAGTTCTACAATACCTGTTATTACATTAAAAGAGTGACAAATGGCACAAGTTCTACAATACCTGTTATTACATTAAAAGAGTGACAAATTATTGTAACAAGTTCTACAGATCATTGAAAATGTTTAGGTCAGCTTAATGTGATAATTTGATAGAAATGGATGAGGTAAAACTTTTACAGATCAAGATCTTTGTGACTTGTTTTGAGTGTTATACCTATAGGAATAGAATAACTCTTTTATTATGAATATATTATATGCAATTTTATTGCCTTTCATAACAGTAACAAAATCTACAAATTAATGAAATCTATAAAATAATAACAAAATCAATTTTCATCCCTAAAAGGATGTCATAACCTGACTTTTTACACTGAAATCTTCCTGTCCTAAGTCCTTGCAAAATAAAGCATGGGCCTCATATATACCCCAGCAGAAGGTACGTAAATTTCAAACTGAAATATTGCACAGTCACGAACTACTTCCCACCCTCGATGTCCTCAACTGTCGTCTGCTCGACTAGAAATGTTCAGCATAACATAAATGCAAATTCTGATTTGTTTGGTTGCTTTGTAAGCTCATTCTTCTACTCTGCTGTTTTTGCTGAACTTTCTGAATTTGAATGCTGGCATGCATGTTTTTAAGAAGGACTGTTTCCTTTTCTTAGGACACATGGCCGTTTGTAAAGCTGACTTGAACACTTCAGAGACGCCTTCACACTTAAGTGCCGAACATTCTAAATATTGTTTCGCACCAAGTTTCCTAGCTGCAGATTTACCCTTGCTTGCAGAAACACATTTTGTCGGTACTAGGTTTTCATGTATGAAACTTCCCTGCACGTGTTCTGTGTCGTCTGCTTTTATGTTGCGTTTGTCACTTTGTGTTCCAACTAAAATGAACGGAGTATCTGGTCTATATTGTTTAAGTTCTTGGATCCATTTTGTTTTCACATTTTCAAAGGAATCTGTGTCTGCTATATTGAAGCAGACGACAAAAACGTCCGTGTCGAAATATGACAGCGTTCGTAGACGATCGTACGTCTCCTGAAAAACAAAATAGCATGTCATAGAACAGTCATCTTTATAAGGCGTATTTACGAAAATCACAGAAAATGTTAAACCAGTAGATCAAGAAATATTTATTCTCATAAAATGATGCAACCAGAATCATATACCAAATAATAGACAACCGCGACAGACATACCTGAAATGTTTGCGGTAATATAATGATAATTAGTATCGTCTCCTTAGTAAAATATATAATGGAATCCTTTTTTTTTTATTATTATTTTTTAATATCTTTTTGCTGAATACAATTTTGAAATAAGATATCAAAGGATACATTTTTTTAGTTTAACAGTGAATAAATGATACTTAATTATACACATTGTTGCATTTGAATAATAAATATGATATAAATTTAGGTTTATATAATGCGTTTCAAATGTGCTCATGAAATGCGACACGCCCGTTCGATGCAATTAAAAGGTAGCGCAGGTGTGACGGGGCGTGCGTGCGATATATAAACATCGTGAGTCTTCATTTAACTGACACAATAAAAAGCGACAAAAAGTATTGTTTGGTGAGGATGATATAGAAATTATGAAGTTAATAGATACATACCTGTCCCGCTGTATCTACCAAGGTCATACTGTAACTTGCATCGTTAACATTCATATCCACTGAAAATAAAAAAAACAAATATGTATTATGAAAAGTACACTTAATCGACAATGGTCAGTGCATGTTATTTTCCCCTTTTTTGTGGGGGGGGGGGGTGAATAAACAATAATGACAGTCCTACAGACAGTTACTTAGATGAGTATAACTGAAATGTTTTAATCAACTACATAGTTATCCTTTGATATCACCATTTATATATCATTTTCTATCTTACGTATTCTTGGACGTGTTCAATGTACATGTATATGATAGAGAAAAACGTTACACGCCTATCTCACGAAATGGACCACGCCTTAAAGCTATCATATTATTCACATTGTTCATGCCAAATGTTTATTTATGACTACACATGTATGATAATATATATAATTATGCTCATTATTATCATCACTATTATAAGATAATCGTCATCATTTACAATTATATTAGTATAATACTTTTCAACTATATGTTATATCATATTAATGTATAACCAGGATCTTTTAAATTTCTATCTGTATAGTATCGGAAATAAAAACGGGAAAAGCGAAAATTTATATTGAAAATAAGAAATTGTAATATTTTATTTTAATCTACAGTACCTGTATAACAATCAAAACATGTTGGAATATAGTCCATCATAATTCCGCCTGAAGTATAACTCATCAACAAGCTTGTTTTCCCGACGCCGCCGTCCCCGACGATAACACACTTTACTCCACCCGACGTCTTTTTATTTAATTTATTCATTCCCATTTGTATATAATACGTGAATATACTTTCTTTCCACGTTCAGTTACTATTGTAAGTTATTTCTCTAGCTTAAAAGCAGTTAATATAATAGTATAGCGCAGTTTTACAGTATTAAATGCGTCAATAGTCCGGACGAAGTTTATATATATATGACCACAAAGTTGTGCTTAAAATAGATCACACTATCGCGCTGTTAAAAAATTAATACATAGCTATATTTAGCTTGTTTTATTTTTAAACTAACAAATCAATCACCAATCGATTTAAATAGGCCGTATTAACGGTATATTTATAGTGATTTAACTTTAACTTTTATATTAAGATTACCTAAACATAAAAACATTTACGCTAATTATGATCTTAACCGAAGAAAATGGTGATAGTTTTGATAACAATAATTATAATTAATGAAGAAAACATCTTTTTAATATTATGCTAACGAGTACTTATTTCCAGTTCGTTTCGAATTCCTCTTCATGTACTAACAAAACAAATATCAACAAGAGAACTGCGTTCGATGTAAACGCTCGTCTGTTAAGGGCAACAACTTTCGGTAACCAATTTTTATTAATAGTCAAGTTTAAATAGGGACATAACTCCTAAAATATTGTTTTAATGATAATAACTGTCTTAAAACTGTGCATTGTCATAATAATCAAGTACCCTATTCAAAGTTCCATGTTGATATCTACAGTTATGAAATAATTACATTATTAAGCAGTTTTGACAAAAGTCCAAGGTAAAAGGGTTATAACTCCAAAAAATAAGCTTTCAGAATTATGCCCCCTTCCAAACAGAAATACAAACTATATGATAGTGCACAATAATACTATGACACTTCATGCAATTCAGGGGGGTGGGGTGTGCACATATTTAATGTTATTTAGAGTCATTGCTGTTCCTTAAGCATACACATGTATTTCAATCAATTTATGAGCAAAAATAAAAAATAAACAACAACAAAAGACACCCCTCTTCACATCTAAGATTTCTTTCTTCCGAGTTTTGTCATATGTATATATGTATGCCAGAATAAAAGATTTTAAGTAACACTAATGTATGAAGTTTATATAAACAATCACACAATGATAAACACTTTGAAACATTGAAGTGGCATAAAAAATGTCCTTGTATGTCCGTCCCGTTCCACTGTCATATTGTTACATTGTCCATCAGTAGATTGGCAAAACAGTGTAATGCAACGGCATCCATTTCTAGTTATATAATGAAGAGGGGTTTGACCATTTATCAAACATGTCTGTGAGAAAGTCCGGATCGGACACATGAAAATGCCGTTTCGATTTCGATAAATGCAAATGTCAATCGTCAACGGATACAAATTCGATCATCTTAAAGATCCTGTATGTTTTGTGATTGATATTTTTACTGTGTGAATACCACACTAGCAAAAAAATATATATGTACATATTTATGCAAATAAAACAATTTTCAAACATCGAAGAATATGTAAAATGTGTACTGCAAATATTTGTGCACATTATATTTAATCAATAAATTACATGCATTCATTTCTTATTGGAAAATTTGATTTAGAATTTATAGAAAATAAATTTCTAATTACCTCCCTTTATTTACATGAAATGTTAAATTGGGTAATATCTTTATAAATAATGCTTATTGGAACTTACAATATTGACAAATCTTAATTTGAGCATCATATTTATGAAATAAAACCATGAAAAAATTGTGTTACAGGATCTTTAACTAATATGAACGGCCGGATCTTGGTTCGTTGCGTCTTGAATTATAAAGTTTTCATATGATTGTAATATAAAACAAATATATCCATAGGCAATTCGTCAAGTTCAATTCGTTTGTCATTTAAAATACGAAATCATGCTATTTAAAATATGTTTTGTAAACAACAACAACAGTGGTATATATTCTGATGTAATAACGTGTACACATACATCATTCAATGAATGTAGTTAATGGTACCAATACCCGTCGGTTCCGACGATGTTGTTAATTGTAAAAATATATATATATAAGCTGTCTGTACTGCATTTTATTGAAAGGGCTCAGTCAGTCGGGATGTCTGCAACAACCCCGTCATCTTCCAACGCAGTTTTTATCGTGCGGTAGTGACAATTAAATCATTTGTATTTAGAGCTAGAGAAGCGTCTCGGCAATCTTTAATAACTTTTCATACTCACTTTTATTACAACGTAGGTGGGTCCATAAAATATATGCATTTGAATAAAGAATTAATATATATATAGAGAGAGAGAGAGTGAGCTAGACCTAGCATCATTTTTTAAATAAAAGTAACTTCGATGGAAACGCAATAACACAATACGGCCGTGCAATCTAACGATCTTGCACGTGCATTGGATATATTTTCCCGCTTTGCGAACCTTTTTGGAATTACTCGTCATTTTGGCGCTAAAATAACCGTGGACCACAATTAACAATTAAAACGTGACGACCCTGATTGTAATAATATAATGTACACTTGTGTTGTGGATTACTCTCGCCTGGAATCTATAGATTCTACTGTATCTGAAAAAAAAACTCATTTCAATGCTTTATCTCCAAACTGGGGCATAAATTAATTTAAAGGTCAAAAGTAATAAAACGAAAGCAATATTACATTTTCAAATTATTTACGTTCCTAAGAACATAATAATCTATATGTTTTTTTGTTGTTTTTTTTTTTGTTAAACTTCTCAACGCACCTGCAAAATAAGGCGGGACATTTACAGATCACATGACCGATAGAAGTCAGGTGGTATTCATGTGACTGCAATATGTCCGCTGTAGTATAAACAATAAAAATATCTTGACTTCTAATCAGTAATTGAAGAACAATCAACATGAAAGGAGTGATTATTTTGTTGTTTTTAGTTGTGGGAAGTGTATTTTCTTTCCCAGAACATGTAATAGAGTTCGAGCAGGCGTTAGACAAGTTAGGAGAACCTGAAGAAGGTGGAAACCACTGGGCATTACTGGTTGCTGGGTCCAATGGTTACTTCAACTACAGACATCAGGTAAATTTCTCCATGTAAACTTGCTCAATTTAAATTACGTCTTGGTAAAATTTAACTTTTGTTTAATTTGATAAAACATAAAAAACAGTTGGGGGTCGGAAATTGCATCGATTTAAATACTAATGGTGTGAAAATATAAAATTAGAAATTTATATATTTTTTTTAATTAGATTACATAGATCTATTATATTCTATTCTTGAATCTTCAGACAATATATACTTGTATTTGTGAGAAAATAATATTTTATTGGAATGAATATTATTTTCACAAATATGTACATTAATTTTTGTAGTTATAGATTATAATTATATCAAATGTACGTACAGTACAGATTGCAATATTGAACTGTTGAACTTAATTATATCAAAAATGAAGGTTTGTTAGAACCGAAACTGGTATATTATTATTATTAAATTACTGAACCTGCACTGGTGTTAACATGTTGTATTTCTTCATTTCTATCTTATTCTAATTGAGTACACTCTAGAAAGTGGAGTAATATTTAAATTAGTAGATAAATTATCCGACCAATATTGCTTAATTATTTGATTAATGTAATCTGAAGCTCTTGTTACAAGATGATTTTATGACTGAATTAGTTTTTTTTCAACATATCCACATAAATATTCACTCATTATCATAGTTTAATTATTTTATAATGGACTATGTAGGTAACATTTTCTGTAGGCATTTTAGGTGCAGAGTTAATTAGTCAAACTAATAGTACTATGTGATGAGATATTTGCTATTTTTTGCATGGTTTTAGAAGTTAGATTCTGGCATGTCAATATATCACTACTGAGTTAATATTAATTTCCTGTGACCCATTAAAATTGATAGAATGCTTTTATGGCAAGGGCAGATACACCATGACAGTTGTGTCAGTGTTTTGTTTACAGATAAAGTTAGTATTGTTTGGTTTTATTAACCTGTCAATTACATACTGATTACACGGTCGATGCACACAGTATATTAATCTTCGGTAGATGTTCGGTAAGTTCCGTGAGATGTACGCTGTACGATGAAATTTAATTTAATTAGTATCTCTAAACTAAGTGTACTCAGCGTTATAGCGCAATAGGGTAAATCACGAGTTTATAATCTAAGTGCCACACGTGTTTTAAGTTCGAGGCCGTGTTGGTCCATGTTTTTTTCTTACTAATACTTTCAACATTATTGAATCTATATATGATTATTTTATGTTGTTCGTTTTGTTTGATTATGTTTTACTTAATTTTGTTATGTATATACTCTTTTTAAATAACATTTTTTTAAGAATTCATGTTTAAAATTAAAACGGAAAATCAATGTCTTTTCAATGCCGTAAAACACACTACAAATCTGTTCCATTAAAATATACTGCAAAAATAAAGAAAGAGTACTAAAACAATGGCAACAGTAAGGATCGAACCACAGACCTCTCAATTATCAGGCATTCTCTTTACCGACTGTCCTATTGTGAATTAACGAAAACTTGCACATTAAGCTGGCGTGACTTTCAATCCATGACTAATATACTCCACATTAACTCTCGTAAACTACACGGACCAAACCGAAGTGGGATCGAATATTTAAATGAGTCCTATAATGTATTCATAATTGACAGGTCAATAAAATCAGACTATATATAGGTACCATCTGTATACTGTACCAGTTATATACTGACACTGAGCAATTTAATTATACATTCAATGATCTCTCCATTAATTGGGATTGTAAAACTTATCAGTACCACCAAGATAAGAAATAAATTAAGGATAGTGGAGAAGGTTTTCCTGTCTATACTTGTACATATACACTATTACATTTCTCAAGATCTATTATATAAATGTAACAATCAAAATAGATATACATTTTTTCCTATGACACAATTTTTTTTTTCATTCCAACTGGGACATACCAGTAATATAATATACTATGTTCCAGTTACCATGCATAAAGATTTATTTTTTAACTTGAATATTCTGCAGCAGTTTTGATTTCTTCCTTTACTTCTGACAAAAGTATAGTACATGTTTTCCGTGATTTTGAAATAAATCATGAACACAATATTATTGCATGGAGTTTAATAGATGTATATCTGTGTTTATTGTAATAATGAAAGATCTGAAACAAAAAAATATAAAAAAAACCTATTTTTTGTCCCAGTAATTAAAGATATAGATCATAATTATTAAAGTTTTAATCTTTCATAGATAAAAATCATAATTGTATTGTTTATTAATTTGTTAAATCAATCAGGAATGCTGTATTTTATGGTCATTCATTATTTATAAACATGAAAATTGTGAAAATTTCATATCTAAAACATTTGTGATTTTTGCTACTGGTTGTTGTTGTTCGTTTTCAAATGTGTAAAGACACTGAAATTTAGAATAAACAATATTTGAAAGAAAAATGGATTTTAGATCTATATTATGGATTTTAGATCTATATTACATTTAACAGTTATATCATAATCTTAGACTATTATGTAGGTATAATGGTATCATTTAAGTGTATGTCAAAGTTTTTTTATATTGAAATATTATTCTAAAAGCAGATAAAAGGAGTATGTGAATTGGGGCATATCATTGCGTATATAAATATGTTATTGAAGTGGGTATGAAGGTGAAGGTAAAATTTATAAAAAAAAATAGTACACAAAGAACTTCAGAAGTAAGTTAAATAAAGTGTCCTAAATAAACCATGTGGTCTATACTATTTAGATTGAGATTTTTTCATCCCACCATGAGCTACTTAGGATTTTTTTTTAACATTGAGTTTATGCAAACCAATAGGGCTGGAAAGTAAATATAATTTTTTTAGTGCAAAAATTTGACTCATGTGCACTTAAATACTTGGAAAATGCGACACCCTTCCCCCCTATTATCTGGAATTATATATAATACCCCTTGTCAAAATTTTGTAGCCCCCTCTAGTACATAATACTAGATTTACACATTTGCATGCCTGTAAATTGTGACTTAATTTTATCACTGAACCAAAATCAGATAACAAATGAAAGAAAATTATATTATGCTAGCTGTTGTGCTGAAAAGATGATACTTTACATAAATTGCTTTGGGGGTTTGATTATACTAAGTTTTACTTTAGCTGAATATATCAAATAATTTACTGTGTTTGCAAGTTTTACATAGTGGGAAAAAATTAATAAATTTTGTGAGTTTGAATCTTTACAAAGAATTTCTATTAAATATTTGAGTGCTATTTAATAAAATATCTGATATTTAATGCTATTGTGAAAAATAATTGTTTCATACCACTTATTAAACTTATTTCGATTTGAAACAATATACTTTATTACAAGTTTGCCCTGTATTTATGCAGATCTAAGCATTGAAAAATCCATGAAGCAAAAAATTATGGGTATGTTTTGTATTGCAGTATAATTAATATGGAAGGGAGTGAGTCCAATAAGACTTTATTAATCTAGTAATTAATAAATATTAAAGTGTTTTTGTTCAGCTTATATTATGTACATGTAAATATATATATTATGAAAGTGTATATATTATATTGTCAGGTGTCCTAAATTCAATCCCGTCCTTGGTTCAAAAACATCTCTTGTTAATGTCCCAAAGTCTCGTAAGAAGTCCATCAAACAATCAGAATTTTTTTAAGATATCAAAATAAATTATAATGATATTGAAGTTAGAATTACTAGAAAATGTCAACTAGTGTATCAAACATTGCACTGTTAAAATGCTTAGGTTAACAATTCCTAATAAAATTGACTACCTCTGGGTAAATTATGCTCTTTTTGTGCCCTTCAGTTGATTATTTAAAAATAATTCCCTAATTGGAAAGTGCAACATGACCAAAAAGACTGTTGATTTAGGGAATAAAAATCTGTCAGTTATAATAAAGTCAGATAGATCAAATTTTAAAGCCTGTTTATTGAAGAAAACTCTTTACATCTTAGTTTTCCTGGATCCCCAACCTTTACAGCAATGGTACATGATGAAGGTGAATGTTGAAACAAACTATGGTATATATACATATACAAAGCCCCAAAACAACTGGTCTTGTAATAAGACACTCTTGTTTAGTACAAATTGGTTATCTATATCAGTAAATTTGATATGTTTCGATGAACTTTTTAATGTACACTGATAATAAATCTAATTCTAACATCTAACATATATGAATTCTGTTGCATTAAGAATTAACAGCTGGCATTACTATAAGCCGGATCAGGTGACTCAATAGAACATGACCATTATTGTTGTAATGATGACTATAACATAAACACACATGATCTGTTGATTTTAATTAGAACAAAGAAAAAAGAAGCATGTGATATCTGATTAATTTAATACAAGGTGGGGGTATCATGTGATACAAGAATTTCTTTAGATAAGAATTTTTTTATAACTAAGGCCGTGTCTACACCTATTCAAGTTTCTTACATGTCACATTTAGATAAGCTAAATAAATGGCCCTTTCAACATTTTTTCAGGCACAATTTTTTCTGAAATGTCTCATTAAGATAGCCCAGGATTTATACCTTTGTCTTTGTTTCTGTAAAATATGTGAAAAAAAGCGGGAAAATGATGCAATTAGCTAAAACAGAATGGAGTAAATGAAATGCGTTCATTCTTTTTTAAAATTGAAAAAATGTGACAAAAATTTATTTTGATGCAAATTCTTTATTCGATGAAAGTTATTCACTAAATGAACAAGATCATTTTAAATCCATTTTGACTCTACTTGAAAAAGAGCTCTTTTTTATTTTTTTTACAATGTATTTATTTTTATTTATTTATTTATTTTTTTTTTGCTCTTCTGTGTATCAGCGTATTGATTTGTTCCTTTGACCAAGACATTGTAATCATTTACTGAAATTCAAAGGGCATGTACACTGAATCAACAACAAAAAGTCAGAAAATAATAAAAATAACAGCACTATCAAACCTTCGGGCACATGTTTTGTGTCAAACTGGTGTTATCAGTGTCTTGACAGCCAAAAACTTGTAGAAAAATAGGACGTGTTCTAACTTTCTTGCAAGGAATTATCTTCTTGAATGTCACATAATTTCTCTTTAAAACTCATTCAAGTAGGGTGTCTACACTATCCAATACAAGAGAATATGATACTTGCATTCAAGACTTGGATAGGTGTAGACGGGCTCTAATGTTTAAAAGATTTCTTGCAAAGATTTAACTAAGCTTTAGAAGTGCATGATCATGAACACTTTACAGTTTGTGGATGATAAGTTCATGATATATTAGAATGACTTACATTTATATTTCACATGATATGTCTATCTGATTAAGCAGTGAGAATATAGATATTTTTTTTAAACATGTACGTTTTCAGTTACAGTTTAATCATATAATATTGTTGTTGATATGATACATGTAAATTAATTTATAATAAAGAGAAACAAAAGTTTTATGAAATAATTGATAAATAGCAAAACAATAGAGTTAGTGACCAACTTTTCCTCATGAAAAATTAATGTCACATTGTGCTTTGAATGATGTGTGTACTTTAACCTTTTTAATTAAAACTCATGTGATTCATGTATATTATTGTAAAGCAGATATTTTCCTTATATCTCATAAAACTTCCTTACAAACGATGCTGTCATAATTTGTCATAATTTCTAACTTTTATATAGTGCATGCATATTTGTCACCAATGCCAGACTTCTTTTCAAATTATGTTAACTACATTGTATATGTCTATTAATATTATATTTAATGGTGATAAAAATATTAAATATCAAAAGTGGTGCTGTTTATATTAATTTTAGGATATAACCACATAAAATTCAGGATGACATGCCTGTACAGAAGCAAAATTTTATGAGAATATGATATAATGCATGTAATTGTATATATTTCATGCCTACATTATGTCATGCATACAGGATTTAAACCGACAATATGTCATGCATACAAGTCAAGATCATGTCATGCATACAATATTCAGACTGACAGCATGTCATGCATACAAGATTCAAACTGACATCATGTCAATCATACAAGATTTAAACTGACATTATGTCATGCATACAAGATTCAAACCAACATCATGTCATTCATACAAGATTCAAACTGACATCATGTCATGCATACAAGATTCATACTGACATCATGTCATGCATACAAGATTCATACTGACATGACATACATACAAGATTTATACTGACATCATGTCATGCATACAAGATTCATACTGACATGTCATGCATACAAGATTCAAACTGACATCATGTCATTCATACAAGATTCAGACTGAAATTATGTCATTCATACAAGATTCAAACTGACATCATGTCATTCATACAAGATTCAGACTGAAATTATGTCATTCATACAAGATTCAAACTGACATCATGTCATTCATACAAGATTCAGACTGAAATTATGTCATTCATACAAGATTCAAACTGACATCATGTCATTCATACAAGATTCAAACTGACATCATGTCATTCATACAAGATTCAGACTGAAATTATGTCATTCATACAAGATTCAAACTGACATCATGTCATTCATACAAGATTCAAACTGACATCATGTCATTCATACAAGATTCAGACTGAAATTATGTCAAGCATACAAGATTCAGACTGACATCATGTCATTCATACAAGATTCAAACTGACATCATGTCATGCATACAAGATTCAAACTGACATCATGTCATGCATTCAAGATTCAGACTGACATCATGTAATGCATATCGGAAAATTACACACAATAATATTATTTCAGGTTGACATAAATTGATAATTATGATATGCATACTATAAATTGTACAAAATTATGTATTATTATTTCAGGCTGAGATATGTCATGTATACCAGATTTTACACCAAATTATATATAATATTTCAGGCTGAGATATGTCATGTATACCAGATTTTACACCAAATTATATATAATATTTCAGGCTGAGATATGTCATGTATACCAGATTTTACACCAAATTATATATAATATTTCAGGCTGAGATATGTCATGTATACCAGATTTTACACCAAATTATATATAATATTTCAGGCTGACATTTGTCATGTATACCAGATTTTACACCAAATTATATATAATATTTCAGGCTGAGATATGTCATGTATACCAGATTTTACACCAAATTATATATAATATTTCAGGCTGACATTTGTCATGTATGCCAGATTTTACACCAAATTATATATAATATTTCAGGCTGACATTTGTCATGTATGCCAGATTTTACACCAAATTATATATAATATTTCAGGCTGACATTTGTCATGTATGCCAGATTTTACACCAAATTATGTATAATATTTCAGGCTGACATTTGTCATGTATGCCAGATTTTACACCAAATTATGTATAATATTTCAGGCTGAGATATGTCATGTATGCCAGATTTTACACCAAATTATATATAATATTTCAGGCTGAGATATGTCATGTATACCAGATTTTACACCAAATTATATATAATATTTCAGGCTGAGATATGTCATGTATACCAGATTTTACACCAAATTATATATAATATTTCAGGCTGAGATATGTCATGTATACCAGATTTTACACCAAATTATATATAATATTTCAGGCTGACATTTGTCATGTATACCAGATTTTACACCAAATTATATATAATATTTCAGGCTGAGATATGTCATGTATACCAGATTTTACACCAAATTATATATAATATTTCAGGCTGACATTTGTCATGTATGCCAGATTTTACACCAAATTATATATAATATTTCAGGCTGACATTTGTCATGTATGCCAGATTTTACACCAAATTATATATAATATTTCAGGCTGACATATGTCATGTATGCCAGATTTTACACCAAATTATGTATAATATTTCAGGCTGACTATGTCATGCATACCAGATTTTACACAAAATTATATATAATATTTCAGGCTGACATATGTCATGCATACCAGATTTTACACCAAATTATATATAATATTTCAGGCTGACATATGTCATGCATACCAGATTTTACACAAAATTATATATAATATTTCAGGCTGACATTTGTCATGCATACCAGATTTTACACCAAATTATATATAATATTTCAGGCTGACATATGTCATGTATACCAGATTTTACACAAAATTATATATAATATTTCAGGCTGACATTTGTCATGCATACCAGATTTTACACCAAATTATATATAATATTTCAGGCTGACATTTGTCATGCATACCAGATTTTACACAAAAATATATATAATATTTCAGGCTGACATTTGTCATGCATACCAGATATTACACAGTCATGGTATACCTGATGAAAGGATTGTTGTTATGATGTATGATGATATTGCAGATAACAGAGAGTAAGTCTACATACTCACTCAAACTCCATATTTCTTTAACTTCTTCCTATTTCATTTATATGTCAATAAGAAATTATTTTCAAAAAGTGTACATAGCTGTTGTAATTCAAAAAGCTGTTTTTATGAGGATTTTTTTATCAAATGGTTGAATTTTAAAGCAAACACCAGTAAGGTTTAACGGTATAGAAACACACAAATATATGAGTTTTGTAGTTTTTATAAATTTCATGCTTTTAGGCTTTGAACCTCAGTGGAGTTCCTATATTGCCTAAAGATTTGGCATCGGATGACGTTTATGAAAACAAAGGGGAACAACTCTTTCACCTTAATGTTCTGTATATGTCCGTACCATTCAGTACGCTGACAAAACCGTACCTGACTACACTATGGCGAAATATCAAAAGTAACAAGCATAATTTTTCTGTTTTTATTGTTGATTGTTTCTTCTTCAGAAATCCTGTAAAGGACAACATCATCAACAGACCTGATGGCCCAAATGTCTACCAAAATGTGCTAAAAGATTACACAAAAATGGTAAGTATAAATTACAAACTATTAAATAGTGGCCACTGATAACTGGATGTACATGTGAGTACATGTATTTCCATCACTGTCACAATATATATACCACTGTTAAGTTTTATAAACAATGATCATTTGTGTAACATATGTTTTTAAGCATGGATAGTAAACATTTCGTAATTTAGTTTTATATGAAGAAGTAAAATGATGTAAAACAAGGAAATGTGTCATTCACTATATTGTACTACACTGTATTGAAACATGTACACTTGAAAATGTTCAAGTATATTGTTTTTTGCCAGAATGAACACAACTTGATAGATGTTCATGAGTATGCTCTTACAAATGAAGATGCTCCTTGTATCTGGAAGTCTTAATATTTATTTTCATTTCTATTTGAAAGAACACTTTATTACAAGTTTGCCCTGTATTTATGCAGATCTAAGCATTGAAAAATCTATGAAACAAGAAATTAGTTATGTTTGGTATTGCAGGAAGTGAATCCAGAAACATTTATAAATGTTTTGAAAGGAGAGAAAGATAAAGTTAATGGGAAAAAAGTCATTGACAGGTAAGATATCCAAAGTTTGTCCTTAAATTTACATGAAAAACACATTTTAAATGTAAGGAAAAATTAATTCCAAAACCATCTGTTCAGAAAATGGTGACCTTTGGGCTAATGCCTCTATACATACATTTGTATTTGTTGTAGGTGAATTATGTAAAATACAAATATAACAGCCAAAGAAATAGTGATAAAGGAAAACACTTAAAAATCATTGTATTTCTCTTATAAATTTACAAAAACATCAGGAAATACCTCGGCATTCCAATTACGGCAACTATGTCACTATGTCATTATATGCTAATTAGCTGGAGGAAAAATATGACAACCTGCATGCTCATACCCTCGCAAAATCAATAAAATCTCACCAGCAAACCTGACTAAATAATGCTATATGTATTGTTCTTATCAAATTTTCGATATGTCATAACGTATGGGGACATGGTCAAATTTCCGTATCAAAATATGTAAAGCACAAAAAGGCATTGACAATAAAAGGGCTTTTGAGTAAACATGGTGTTTATAAGAACTAAATATTTTGCATTTTTTGTCCAGTGACAATACACTTTTGATACAGAAGAAGGAAAAAACAACAAATATGTGAAGGGGCTTTATTATCCTTCAAGCGATCTGTCTCTCGTACTATAGATTGTCAAACTGTTCTAATGTCTACACAGTAACAATTTCAAATAATTTTTATAGTTTTGTATATTAAAATGCATGATAAATTGTTTTGTTAGTATAGAACATGAATGTAAATTGTGTAACATGATTGTATATCATGTGTTTATAGTGTAACATGATTGTATATCATGTGTTTATAGTGTAACATGATTGTATATCATGTGTTTATAGTGTAACATGATTGTATATCATGTGTTTATAGTGTAACATGATTGGATAGTATGTATTTATAATGTAACATGATTGTATATCATGTGTTTATAATGTAACATGATTGTATATCATGTGTTTATAATGTAACATGATTGTATATCATGTGTTTATAATGTAACATGATTGTATATCATGTGTTTATACTGTAACAAGATTGTATATTATATATTTTTCAGTGGTCCCAAGGATCATGTGTTTGTTAACTTTGTTGATCATGGTGGCCCTGGTATCTTGGGCTTTGGCAGTAAAATGGTAAATTTGTTAAATGTGATACACATATTTTCATTAAACATGATTATCTTTTTGCTGTGGTAAAGACAGTCAGGAGTAATTTAATAATGATATCCGATCAGATGTATAATCTTAATAGTGGAAGAAACTTTAAGTCAGTTAGGTTAAACCTTATTGACTTGACCTTTGATTTCTTTTTTCCCTATAACAAAACAAAAAGGAGTAAGTAAGTGATAAACATTTTTGTCTTCATTCTATTCCTTCATTTGACACTATGGAAGCTTCTGCCTATGATCAGTCAGGCAGAGTTTGTGTTTATTATTTAGGCTTTGTTCTTGAGAAATAAACAAGCATATTTATTTACAAATAAACATTGTAGACACTTCACTGAAAATTGCAATTTGAGCTTTATACATTGCTTCTTTTAATTAAAAAAATTGTCACATTTAAGCATATTTAACATATTCATGATTATTTTAGTTTCTCAAAATAGATATGCATTATGCAAATATTTTTTGTTGCAGTTGAAGGCACAAAAGTTGATAGATGCAATCATGTACATGCATGACCAAAAAAGATACAAAAAAGTAAGCAAACATTATCATAAATAAGTATATAAGCCTTTGGCCATCTTAGAAAGGTTATTTACCGGATGATGTCTGACTCTGAATATTTTGTCACTTTACTCTGTGGGTTTGAAGCTTGTATAAAGCTATATCTGGTTGTTGTTTTCATAATCTAATTGTCTATTCTTGAAAGGAATGTGACATACAATATCTGCATGAATATTGTATGTACATTTTATTCTGCATCTGTTTTTAGTAGGTTTTACTGTAATCTCATGCATGTCCAACTCACTTTTAATAAAATATACTGACAAATTTTCTTCATTTTGGGTATGTTGTAATCATTTTAATCAAAATATAAACAATATTTTTTACATTTACACTTTAACAATTACCATGCAGTTGGCAACAGAATTTACCCATGTGACCATTAAGACCTTACCAATCAATATATATATATACATGTATATATATCCTACAAAATATTTACAAAGTGACTGTCATGTATCTATGAATGTATCTAATATAATGAAAGAATGTCATCTTAGCTCAGTAGGAAGAGCATCAGATTTGTAAGACAGAGGTCGCTGGTTGGATCCTTGAGTGAGGCAAAATATCTTTGTGACAATTGATTGTTCAACATAATACAATATTATTTGAATTTATTTATTTATACTTAAGCAATTATTAAACTTGACTATTTAATGCTTTAAAACTTCTTTAGATTTAGGTGTTTTTTTTCTAAGTGTATTATTCTCATACATGAAAACTATATCTAAATGTCAAATACTAGTATAAGTATTAGTACTATTACTGTAGAGCTGTTGTTATATTACATTTAAAGGAAAAATGTAAAGATTGCCTCCAGATTCATGCTAATTTTCATGAAATTTTGAAAATATGTTAAAAAGTAAAATATTGTAAAATTGAACAAAGAAAGTAATTTACACAATGCAAACAGCATTTACAATCTTGGTTTATTACCCAAAAGAAAGGACAAAATATGCAAAAATAGCCCTTACTGGTTTGTCACGCAGTAGAAATGTGGTGATAAATACTGTAAAATTGGTCATTAATCATGTATAACATTTAAATTATTACTTAAATGTTATATATTTTTACTTTTTCGGAAAATCTTGGTATATTTTTCTCTATTTTGATTTGCTTGAAATAGTTTGGCTCATCTGGAGGCATGCAGCTTTAAATCAGGGAATAATATGTTATTGTCATATTAACATTTATACATATAATTATTACAGCTGGTGATTTACGTAGAAGCTTGTGAATCAGGATCCATATTTTATGATCTCTTACCTAAAGACATTAATGGTAAGTTTTTTTTTCTGAACACAAAGTTCAGTAGCATTATCAACAATTTCATCATCTAATTATTCGGTCTTTCTATTCTTTTGTAAAGAAAAGGCATAATAAGAATTTACTTATTCATTCAATATAAAATAAGATGCATGTATAGCTTTGATCATTGTTATATCCTATTGATGTGTATACTAAAGTAAATTACAGCAATGTTTTTTTCTTTTCAGAAATCTGCTTTATGCTTTAAAACTATTCGGATTAATTAAAGGGATACTCAGGCAAAATAATGGCAAAAATATAAAAATGATTTTCTGTACTCAAATCACCCTAAAATGACATTTCTTAAAGTCCCAACATGAATTTCTGTATAAATTCTATATATTTTGGGTTTGAAGTTTAAATATATCTATATATGTTGAACGAAATTTTGACGCGAACAGAATCACCGAATAGTTTAAAAACAAGTCCTGCGATTTGAACAAACCCTGGAAGTTACAATAACAAATATTGTTGATATTGTATGATTGAAACAAGTCTAAGTAATTGATTTGACATGTTTTTTAACGTTTCCAGAGTACACAGTGACAACTATTGTGAAATTTTAGCGCTCTAACCTGACCCACGCGTGTCAAGTTAGGAAAACACCATTTTATTCTTTATATGGAGAAAAGTTTTGTTCCTTTGACTGTTTAGTGTTTTCATTTTGAGGACATTTACAGAATAATGAATGAAAATTTCAAAACTAAGAAATGAAAATTTTGCCTGTGTCTCCCTTTAAAGCCAATTAAACAATACTTAATACATATATTTTATCACTGTCTAAATTATCCTGTTTTGATGTAAATATTTTATATTTTCTGAGAGTAACTAGGTTCTATATCTTGTATGTAATTTCAGCATATGTCACAACAGCTTCAAATGCCCATGAATCATCATATGCGTGTTATTTTGACAAGACTCGAAAGACCTATCTCGGTGATGTTTATAGTGTTAAGTGGATGGAGGATTCTGACAAGGTATTCATAATTATCTTTACTCAGACTTGATCAAAATGAGCCTACAGCATTTTCAATTTTGTCATTTTGGGCCTTTTAATGGATTCATTTTTTCTTCATTTTCCTGGCTTAATGCTGAAGGCAATGCAATTAGATCCCTAACCTGTCAAATTCTCATTATCAGATAAGTGGATACAATAAGAATTTCGCTACAACAATGTTTGTGGTTAAATTAAAGGTCAGAGTAGGGATCTATCAATAATGATTCTAATGTTCCTCAGCTGCCACTGTTGTTTGACTAAAATATAGTACTGTTACAAAAAACAGTAAAATTTAGCTGAAGTTTAGATGCTTTGTAACACCTGATTTGATTTGAATGATTTAACACAATTTCAGGAGGATTTGAAGTCAGAAACTTTGCAGAAACAATTCATGATTACAAAGTCTGAGACAAATACAAGCCATGTACAGGAGTTTGGAGACATGAGTATAGGAGATATGACTGTTGCAGAGTTCCAGGGAATGCAGGCAGCAAAGGGAGATAAATTCAGAAAAGCACCCCCAAGACCTAAAGATCCCTGTGTATGATTTTTACTTTTTTTTATATAATTTCAAAATATCAAATCATTAAAGGACTTAAATTGGTTTATATAAGTTATATTTATGTAGTACAAATTTCTCTTATAATTGAAATGTGAGGGAGCAGTTCTGCTAGATGAAGATAGATCTACCTGGATGCTCACTCAGTCTTGAAATAATGCATGGAATATTTTATTAGCTTGACTATTCTAAGAAAGGAAGAGTCATTGTACTAACCCAGGTATTGGCCTTGGCATCACAATTTGTTTATGTATATGTGTGCAGGGCTAATTCTACATTATCCAGGCTTTTGCTGTACAAGCACTGATAATAGTGGCGCACACAGTTCTATGACAGCTCTTGTTTTGGTCTTGTTCTTCCAGTAAAGCTGTAAATTTGCTTAAAATTGTTTGTGTAAATTAAAAACCAACATCAACAATAAAATAATCTTTTCAGCTAATAAATATTTTAGAGGATGGTGTAAGAGCAATGTTGGAGCTCAAAGAAAAAGAAAATATCTCTTAATTGAAGCACTATCTATGCTCAAACACAAGCATATTTAGAATAACTTATTCTTAATGGTTTTATTTAAAGACAGAACTTGTTGTTGATACCATCTAAATGCAAAACATTTATAAAGATAATTAAAAATAAGTATTAATTTCATGACTTGTAGGAAGATGCTGTGAAGTCTGAAGACGTTCCCCTTGAGATTCTACGACGTAGTCTGAACCTGGTGGAGTCGAAAGAAGAAGCTCAAGAAATAGAGGCAAAAATACAAGCTATTAACAAGGTATGATGTTAATTAAGTTTAATTGTAATAGTAAAGTTCAATTTTAACATAATTGATTTTACCTGGATTGTGATAGAAGCTTGAAGCTTATTTGAAATTCTCTTGAGTGCAACTCCTGGTACTGGTGTCTTATGAGTAAATAAAGCCATGACACCAATAAGGTTTCAACCCACCATCTCTTAATTGTGGAGTTAGTTATTGCCCTATGTATTTTTCATATTTATTTTTTCTCAAAGTACAATGTATTAGAGATATCAATTTCTTACATTGATATATCTCATTAATGGAAAACTACATTGTCCACAAACTTTTATTCTCTTACATAATTTAAAGACTATTTTTTCTGGGATCCAAACTGAAGAAATATTAGAGATATTGACTTTAAACTTCATACATTAATATTAAGGAAAACCTAATTGTCCTAGAACCTTAATTCTCTTTTGACTTCAATAAATTTGATAATATAAGAAAAAAATTTGCTTTTGATACATTTGAAAGTTTAAAATTCTCTTATCAACAATATACTGTAAATTGATAAACATTTGACAGTAAAAAAACTACCTTAATGTCATATTTTTAAAGAAAATGTCCTCTTATTTTTGTGGACTTTAGAGCTTTGTATCATAATATTTATGCTCTAAGGTATATAATACTAACAAGCTTCAACTATTTGATTTGAATCATTTGACAGGGGATATCAGTTCAATTAATTTGCATGTTTGAAACAGAAATTGAAAGCTTCATACAAAAATGATGTACTTTTAACAATTTATTTTAACCAGCACTCAATGTGTTAACTAAACATGTTCTGCTATTTTTGACCCTTTGGCTTACATTCAAATGTATATGTACTTGTATTTGATTACATGTACAGGATATTTGCTACTGTTGAGTTAATTAAAAGAATTCCTTTTTTTAAAAATCAAACCAAATCATGGTCAGATATCTTACTCCAAAGATTGGTTACTGTTTAAAGCAAATATATGGTACTGTAAGTGAGACAGGTAAAGTCATGGTGTAAACACCAAAATTATTAATGATGGAGGTATTAAAAGGGTTAAGACTAAAAAAAGGATTGGAGCACCTCACTATATACCATAATCCAGTATATACCCGGACAGTACACTTGACTGACTAAATGCTAAAATCTCACTTTTTCACCCAATGGAATGAACTTTAAAATGTCAAATCCATCTCTTCTGCCACTTTATGTACGATAATGAATTAACGATATTTGTCTATTTTGTGATCATGATTTCTGCAAGCGTCCAGAAGTACAGCTGCAATGATGTATTGAGTTAAAGCTGTATCAAAATATCTATGCTCATATTCTTGTCTTATAGGAGCGATACATTGTTGATAAAACTGTAAAGATGATTGTTGGTATAGCAACAGATGATCATGTGACCTCCACTAACATGATGGAAACACACAGCAATATTCAGGACTGGGAATGTTATGAACAAGTTCTTGATTTCCTTGATGAAAATTGTGATGATCACCTTAATATTCCAGAGGTCTGTCACTTTATATTTTATCGTGTTGTACTTCCTCAAAACAGAACAAAACCTATGCTTATGATATAAGGTCATCTTGCTTATATAAAATTATGAAATACTCGTGCATGTACTTACCAGTATGTAATTATAATATCTGTCATATGTTGCGGTTCAGATCGAAATATCTGTCCTGAGGGGACCCCGCCCATTGGGCAGTAACAAGGCTTGTAGGTTTTTAATTTTACACACTTCGGGTAGTTACAAAATGATTTCACAGTGTCATTAAAAAAAAACGGGCAGTTTTTATAATAGACCTAATCAATTTGACAAGTAAATGCAAATGCAACTTCCTTAAAGTAATTTGTACATTCACATATTCAAATTAAACATATTCACGAAGAATTTACTAGATTTTTACCTACAAGTTTAGCTTAGTATATCTTTAACATAATGAAGGACTTCTCAATAGTTACAAAATGTTGTGAACTTTCATTGAGCCTGTATATTGATTGAATGTTTGATACTGTTTGCTCACCAAAATTTGTTTTAATTAAACTTAATCTTTATCTATAGTTAAATATTAGTAGGTATAGAATGTAAGAAATAAGTGATTATTTTGTGTTACAGAATGATTATGCTCTAAGAAAGTTGTACATGTTTGTAAACATGTGTGAAGCCAGGATTCCAGTTGCTACAATTACAAGTGCCATAGAAAAGGTTTGTCTTGATGCAACTGTGCTGGAAGATTGAATCAAGTTTCTGCAGGACCAAGAATAAACAACCTGACATTTAAAGTACATTCTGTAATGATAAATCAGCACATATAAATGGTTGCTTACATCATCATCATTATATGATTTATTGTTATCCAATTATTGACTGTGTTATTAAGTGTACAGAGTAATTTTGAGGGAAAAAAACACAACGTCTTTTACTATCTTAAACAAGCTTAATATAATGGAAATTACATATCTTAGATAAATTAAGTTATAAAGAGTCTTTAGGAAATTAGACTTTTATGTTTTTGTATACATGATATTTCTATATGTTGAATGAAGGTGTAATGTTTGTTACGTTTTTATCCAAAAGTCTTCCTTATAACGTGTACCTTTTTCTTTTTTACAGAAGGTCAATTAATTTACAGTTACTGTAAGGGGAGTTAAATGAAACATTTTACATATATTACATAATAGAATTTGATTTTCTGTTTTGAATAATTTTTAAATTTCAATGTTTACAGATATATACATATATCAGATATAATTTCTAGCACGTGTCATGGAATGTGATTTCGTGCAACAGTTCTCTGTGATAGACATTTGTTTTTCTAATATTATTAAAGGTAGCAGTAAAAACTGATATTTATTTACTAGATTTTGTATATTTATAACAGTATTTTTTAATCTAAAGGTTGCTTTTACTGCTTTGATAATGTGTTGTTGTTATGCTACTATGTCAGAGTTATATTCTTTTGTAACTAGGTTGTAATTATGACGAAAAAGAACAATGTAGTAAAATTCTTATAACATTCCATTATTTTACAATAACTTAAATTACTATTTTATTGAAATATAATCGTTTTTTTTTCTTCTACAATAATGGCTATGTTCATTTATGATATGTTATGGCCATGCATGTGAGGTTAAAAGAATAAGTGTGAGGGGCTAAGCAAGCTACTCAATTCTCTCAGGAAAAACCTATCAACAGTGATAAAAAAGTGCAAACCTAACACCTTGTATGGCATAATACAGAATACGTTTTAATGACTTATGTTGGATATTTTAAGTATTATATTATAGAGTGAAAGAACTGTGCTGATATATAAATTGAAGGATTTTTCAACTTCTACACACCTTTGGAATTAATACCAGATGTTTAATAGCATTTCACTTCATATAAATCTCTCATACATGTATTATATACGTAGCGCTGACGATAACTATTGGTAGCAAAAACAAATGATAAAAAATACTTACATGTTGGTGTATAATTACTGAATCTTATAATGTAATTTAATATGTTTCTTGTTGTATTTTGATAATTTTGTAGGTAAAAACTGTGCAATAGCAATGATCTGTATGACTGATGGTTTGAACCATTGTAATAAAGGTTGTTATATAACATACATGTATATCTGTTTGGAATCCTAATTAACCATACCCCCTTTCCTCAATATTTATTTCGTTTCAACTCGTAATATGAAAGACTTAAGCCACAGTCTGCTCTACCTGTACACGTTCTGGCGTAATGTTTTGTGTATATAGCTTTGATCAAATACAGTCCATTGTCAAAACCTGTCACTAAACCATAGCCATGTTTAAAGGCACATTACGCCTGAGAAATAAATAAATGTAACTTAATCAGAAAGATAACTTTAATAACATTTAAAAATGATTAAAGAGCATATAAGATGCTTGTTAGCTGAAGAAAGTAGCAGTAAATGTGAAATAATAAGTCATAAAAAAGCGAAATGTAAACAAAGAAGTATTTTGACTTCCATACAAAATACTAAATCACCATAACTGTAATAAATTTGTCAAATAGCATAGAGGAAAAAAGATGGTTATACCAGTGAGTAACTTTTTGATGGGTTTTATTAGTGAGTCAGATCCTGGCCATAAAATACAATGACACTTCAGCTGTATCACTTAAACACAGGTATGTTTAGATAACCATGTCCTTTCATGACATGGAATGGGGTATATTTGCTTACAAATGGCCCTTGTATAAAATGAAATTGAACATGTATATCGTTCTTACGGTTTTGGTAAACTTACCATTCAGCATAGTCCTTCGAATCTGTAGTGATTATATCCCTCTGTAACAAATAACAGACGGCCACCGGCGGCATCAGTTTCTCCAAAGAATCGCAATAGCGACCAGCGGCAGTGACAATCGGACGACAGAAGCTAAAAATTTTGCTAATCGATAATTTTTTGGGTCAGTGAGTTTAAAAAAATCATCGGTTAGACATCGCACGGTCAACGGCGATGTTTTTTTTTTGATCGGGCGTTTTGTTTTTGATAGTCCGATTTTTAAGGCACCCGGGGACCCACCCGGAACCCAAATAGACACCAGTTGGCGAACAATTGTCACTAGGTACCCGGACGATTCATAAGCAGACACCGGGCGGTCATGGTTTTGCCGTCTGGCGGCCGGGCGGCTTGTGTTTGTTGTATACGCGGCTTGAGTTTGTTGTTATTGCCTCAAAAATGCATTTGTGAATTCCTTTGGATTTTACATGAACTTATTCGTAGTGCAAGAACGTCTACGGGGATTATTCTTAAGGCAAAGGCAAAATATAATTGTTTCAGCAGTAAAATATGGCAATGATCAGTACAGAGGTGGCCGTAGAAGAAGGTTTGTGTGGATGAAGTCATGACTTTAGCTGCCCTTTTTTGCTGGCATATTGAAATTAAGCTGATTTATAAAAGAATATAAAATGTCAAGCCGACGCCCGCGCAGCGACAGTCCGATCCATTCATGAATCGCACAGGCGCCGTCCGGACATAACGCGGCGACCGCCCGATCCTTTGAATACTTTCTGTAAGATCAATTCGGCAAAAATCGCTCTGCGACCGTTTGATTCATGACCACCAAGGTATCAGATTTAAATCGCCCGGAGATCGTCGTATGCACTTCTCCTTTTTAGGTGATGCTTCTCCATAACAAACATGCTTTCAAGTCGGTCATCTTTTAATAGATATGCACTTAACCTACGAAAATGGCCGCGAAAGGTCAGCTTGGCATGGTCGATTTTCTGATAACAAGTCTAAGAATTTTCGTAAAAGGCACCATTTTCTGGAGCCACCCGTTTTGTAATCTTTCGTCTGATTCAGTTGTGGATTGGCTATTGAAATTAGTTTAGAGGTTCCTTTTTACAGCAATATAAGGATACAAGCTCTAACCTAATGAAAATGGACGCTGGAGGCCTTCGTGTTATGAATGACTTTCAAATAGACAAATTGTTCATTCTGTATTTAACGTTGTAGAATTTTCGAAAAAGGCACACTTTTCTTAAGCCACTCATTGTACTCGTACACTATTTGTCTGACTTTGTTTCAGATTAACCATTTCATAAGCTTTGAGGTTCTTTTTAACAGCAATATAATGCACGAAGCTCTTAACTCTAGGAATATAGCCACCAGAGGCACGCATCGTGTAATGGTTGAATTTTGGACAGAACATTAGTTAGCAGGTTCTTTTTTACAGAACTATAAGGCGCAAAGATTAAACTGAAAGAAAATGACCGTGGGATGCCCGCACGGCATGGTCGGCTTTTGATAGACGATTTGAACTTTTTGTGTGTAAAATCTAAATATGTTCGCAATAACACCATTTTCTGGAGCTACCTGTGGGGGTATTTTTCAGTGGTTTGTTCTTTCTATATAAACTCTTCTATTTTTCTTTTAAAAAATTGTTCGAGAGCCCGTCACAAAACAATCCGACATTATTTGTTGCGTATTAGCCATGACAGTAGTTTTGAGGTTCGTTCGTTTTTCGGCAATATAAACCCAAGAAAAATGGCCGCGAGAGGTCCGCGTGCTATGGTCGCTTTTGGGATTGGCGATTTGTTCTTTCTGTATATATAAAGTCTTCGATTTTTTGTAAAAACACTATTTTCTAGAAGCAATCATCACTTAACTATTTGTGTTACTCTGTTGCGGGTAAGCCAAAGCAGTAGTTTGGAAGTTCATGTTTCCGCTATTATTATGCAGAAAGCTCCAGGCCCCGTGTTCACTAAGAAAAGATCAGGATCAGGATCAAGTGATCCTGATTTTATTTTCATTGTTTAATGTTACTAAAATTATTTGTGTTTTGTCGAATTAAATTGTAAATATTCAATATGTAAAAATATGCTGATTTGCAAAGAAAACAAACTATTTTGGGATGAAATCAAGAAATAACAAAACAAATACAAAAATATTTGGATCAAAATAAGGATCAATTTTAGGATCAGGATCAATATTTGGATCAACTGTAAAATGCCCATATCTTGCAAATTAACAATTAATTTATTCTAAAATTTCATATACTTGCTATTTCAAGTCCAGTTTTATCAAATTTATAATCAGATATTTATCTATGAGGATAAACAATGAAGAATATCGGGTTTTTAAATTTGATCCTGATCTTGATCCTGACCCTTAAATCTTTGTGAACATGGGGCCAGGGCTCAGGATGCCCGCGTTTTATGGCGGCTTTTTTTTGATCGGCGATTTGGTCTGACTGTATAAATTGTGTAACCGGATAAACACGGTGTTAACAGTAACAACAAAAAACAAACATGTAAAACAAACATTTTTAATTCTTACAAATGATAAGAAGGCATATACTAGCACACCTCAAAGAAGCATATACTAGCACACCTCAAAGAAAGAAAATTGCTCTTACATAATTCAAAATGTATCTCAACTTTCTTTATAGACACAATGCATATTATCTGGTCATCTATGACAAAAAGGCAATAAAATGTAAGAAAAACTCCTGTAAATATTAAACTAGAAAAAGAAGATTCATACTCATTCATACAGTCTGTATTTTCTCACATTCGCACTAAGCGAGTTGTCTAAATACATTCAGTGCAGCATACATAATACAAACATGGGATGTGTATATACATACATTGTATACAGTATAAAATAGAGAAAATATGAATCCCATTGTGCCCGGGAAAGGCTTTGTTTATTTCTTAGAAGCTGTTTATTTTGGTATACTTTTTATAGCTTCCAAAAAGTTACTTATTGGCCAAATACCTGAACAATCAATAATCGTCATAATCAATACAAATATTGAATGCGACCATTTTCAGCTTTATTTATGACATTTTCATTGTAAAAGTCCATACTCCATTAAGTCATAAAACGTGCTATTACAGATTACGGGAATTTTTCATTTCAAGTGGTTGAG